TGCTTTAATATGAATAAGAAAACCAAAGTCTTACTATTGAAGGCAGAAGGCGAGATAATAATGTCTATCAACACAGAAAAGCAGATAATGTATTGGACAAATTCTCACAACAAACTTTTGACCCTGACGCATGGAAGAGAAGAAAGGGAAAGCAAATATAAATTACTGAATTACAAGAGAGACAAGATCAGATCGTTTTCTTTTGTTCCTGATGACTCCATCATTGCATGCAGTGCAAGAGTAGTTATCCTTGTGAACTTGAAATCTAGAAAATCCAAAAGACATCATCTTAAGAGAAATCTGGAATGTTTTTTTGTGCAGGTAATTAATAACCAGGTCCATTTACTCACTAGAAAAGGACTTAACATTTTCACAATGACAGGGAAACTACTAGATTTGATTAAATATCCCACAGGTGACGGCATGTTTCTTGTAAAACTTCACTAGCAACAATGTCATCAACTCCTTGTGTGATAAGTATCTTTCTATTGTTATTTTACCATTGTAATTTAAAAATGTGCATAATAAAAGTGACTCTGTTTCCGAAACAAATGTATTTGTCCTGTTAATGGAAAACCAAGAACGGTTTTGAGAGGCTGCCTGTTTGGTTCTTAGTTTTGAGGGGCGGTTTGTTTGGTTCTAAGTTTTGAGAGGGCTGCCTGTTTGGTTCTCAGTTTTGAGGGGCTGCATGTTTGGTTCTAAGTTTTGAGAGGGCTGCATGTTTGGTTCTCAGTTTTGAGAGGGCTGCATCTTTGTTTCTCAGTTTTGAGAGGGCTGCCTGTTTGGTTTTTCAGTTTTGAGGGGCTGCATGTTTGGTTCTTAGTTTTGAGAGGGCAAACCAGACATACAAAACTGAAACACCAAACAGGCAGCCCTCTCAAAACTGAGAAACAAACATGCAGCCCTCTCAAAACTGAGAACCAAATGGGCAGCCCCACAAAATTGAGAACCAAACATGCAGCCCTCTAAATACTGAGAAACAAACATGCAGCTCTCTCAAAACAGAGAACCAAGTGGGCAGCCCCACAAAACTGAGAACCAAACAGGCAGCCCTCTCAAAACTGAGAACCAAACATACCGCCCCTCAAAACTGAGAACCAAACAGGCAGCTCTCTCAAAACTGAGAACCAAACAGGCAGCTCTCTCAAAACTAAGAACCAAACAGGCAGCTCTCTCAAAACTAAGAACCAAACAGGCAGCTCTCTCAAAACTGAGAACCAAACAGGCAGCCCTCTCAAAACTGAGAACCAAACATACAGCCCCTCAAAACTGAGAACCAAACAGGCAGCTCTCTCAAAACTGAGAACCAAACATACAGCCCCTCAAAACTAAGAACCAAACAGGCAGCTCTCTCAAAACTGAGAACCAAACAGGCAGCTCTCTCAAAACTGAGAACCAAACAGGCTGCTCTCTCAAAACTGAGAACCAAATGGGCAGCCCTCTCAAAACTGAGAACCAAATGGGCAGCCTCTCTCCAGTATCCCGTGGGGTATATGATGTTTTAATGTTAGTTTTTATACAACAAGCTCACTTTTCAGTCTGCCATTGTAAAAGAATTAAAACATACTGACAATTGATAGAAAACTGCTGTTCTATTGAGCTGAGGTTTACTTGTGCCGTAAACGTGCAGCTTTTTGCTTCGTAGCAGGGAATAAGGGATTTATTATCCCGCTCAGAAATCCATGTGCAGCATGTTTTCTTCATGGCAGGGTTTAAGGGATTTATTCTTGCTCTCATAAATTGATTTCCTTCCCAGGAGTATACATAGTATTTTATCAAGATCACATGAACCAATCAGATCTCATCATTCTGACATGGTGGTAAGATAATAATATTTATGTGGGTTATAAAAATCCTCCCTACAATATTAAATGTTTCTTTACACTGTATTGTCTCTCAGCATGAATAGTTTACCTTATTTTACTTTCAATTCAAACAAGAAAACAAAGTCATCCATATCCCCTGTCATCTTGTATCCTTACAATCATAAACAAATAATCTTTTTTTATCATATAATGGGTAGGTTTCTCGGCAGGATAAAGCCAACGGATAAAAACGTTATCCGTTGGGGTCATATGTGGATAGAGATGCAAATATCAAAGGTCAAGTAGGGACTACTTTCAGTGTTTATAAACAAACATGGCATCGCCCTTGTCATTTGGCGATCGAGTCAGAATTAACCATCGGGTATCTGGATAAACGACAGGGATAATTGCTATCATTATCAAAAGAACAGTCTAATATACTGAAAATCAGTGTCTAACTGTGACGTAGCTAAGGCATTTTATAAGTTTTGACAACAATTTTTTGAGGGCACTAGGCCAAGCCAAGTGGGATCAGTAGCCATATCTGTGCTTGTAGACCTCTGTGGCTTGAAACCTTTTCCACAAATTAAAAAAAGTTGGATTTGGCCGAAAGATGTTTGAATTGTTACCTTGTTTCGTTTTGTCGCTGTGTATACATCTGACTGCTCTTCTTAACGTTATGACAGGACAGGATGACTGTCAACAACGTCTGAACGTTGTCGTGACGTCTCAAAGACTAGGGTTAGAGTAGCTTCCCTTTGACAAAGGGCAGTTTCTCTAGGGGACAGACCAATGGATTGACGCGAAAGGCAAAAAACAATTGTTGCTTGGCCAATGTATAAGAAACAGATTTCAGTTGGAACTATATTGGCTACTGTCACTGTCCGACTGACACATCACTTACCCAGTGACGTAATAAATATTAATGCGCGCATTCCAGGAAAACTCGCAATGTTTCGGTAATGTTTGTGAGAGAGAGAAAGCGATTTTCAAGCAGAGAATTAAAGAATGACATAATATGAAAAAGAGGTTATCACGCTTGTGTGTTTGGGGATGGTAAATATCCTGTATTAGGAATAAACACTATGTATTTAGCTCACCAAGGCTCGCTAAATACAATGTTTATTCCTAATGCAGGATATTTACCATCCCCAAGCACACTCGCGTGATAACCTCTATTTACAGGACACTGTCTTATTGTTGGAATATTACTGTAAATAATTGAGTTTAGGCAACACAAACTAGTGGCTGATATCATGAGCAACATCTCATGACGAATCAAGGTTCTGAAACCAGATGACCTCATGATGTTCTCCTGAATAACATTTATAACCTTACTACTGACCGGTGTTTGACATACGTGCCTGCCCGTAGGCTGGTGGCAGGTAGATCTCGCATCGGGCCAGTAGTTTCAACTTTGCATGGGTCCTTTTGGCCTAGATTTAAATTTACGTGTCAATTTTTGGGTCACAATAAGAGGCATTTTCTTAAATGAGGGCAGCCTGGTATTTTCCTTGTATTTCTGTATTTCAGACACTGCCTACAATCAATCCATTTCGCCTTTCCTCCCACATCATGCTGTGAAAAAATTGAATTATTATCCATAGTGACGCCAGCTCACATTGTTTACAAAAATGTGCCCTGGCCAAAAATCTAAATCTGGTCATATAGACATATACCCTATGTGACTACTGCATATCGCTGAAGCCATTGGAAGATTTAATTTGATATGTGTGCATCCAGTTCCTTTATTGTCTTCCAGACTGCAGATAAATCAGTCAGGTCATACTTTCCCATAAAATTCATATCATGTTTCTTGCAATTATCTGTTCTCGCAGCATGATAAACTTTAACAAGGATCAGCTGAATCAGGTGTCAATAAGCTGACCTGGGATTAAATTAGTTCATCTTCATCTAGATATAGAAAAATATCGAAAATTCAGCATAGTGTTCAGAGTATTTCAATGAATGCGTCCATTTTTTCACTCCAGCAGCATGAGTTGAGTACAGTAACCATGGTTACCTGATTATATTCCAGGCATGGGCTGTATAACATGTATAAGGCACTGTAATCTCTGTTTTGAGTTATGTCCCTTAGTTGTGCCAGGATGGGATGGTCGTGAGTCAGCATCATGCTGATGTGTTTTTCTGAAGTGGTAAACACTTACAATCAGTGTTCGAAATAGTGCCTGCCCATTTGTCACAATAAGCTGCACGTATAGAATGAGGGCCTGAAGAGTTTCGTCAGGGTCTGCAGCTTCTAAAGTCTAGGGGTCCTGATTGCAGCCCAGCATTTTATTTTATTTCAAACACTGCTCCTGACAAATGTTTTAACGTCTTTGAAACTAGAACATCTCATTATCATGACTCTTCCTTGTGTTCCTAAACATACTGGTTGTTAATAACGTCAATCGTCTCTATGTAGCAACATTAATGCCTCCAGGGAAATCAGAGGTAAACGGTCCATTTGCGTTTTGTTTCACCTGATGGGTTTTCTTTCCATGGTCACATGCATACATGTACAGGATGGTAATTGGTGTTTCTTAAAGATGACACAGTGACCATTTTGATGACTTACTGAGGTTGAAAAAACATAGGTTGACATGTAAGGTGACACCCCACTGGATCCACCAGTGACATCAAATAAATACGGTAGGTGTCCATTACACTGGCCATATCCTATATACTGGGGACATGTTTCATGTACTTTAAAAATATCCATTTACATGGGGCTAATGACAAATGATGATTAGAGCTGAACTATGTCCATTAGAGACATGAACTGAACAAATCCTGAATGATAGATAACTTAAAACAATAATATTTTATCTGACATCAAACTTTTGAACTGCTACCCTAATGAGGCTTCAAATTTCAATTTCAATTTCTCGAGTGGTGAACAACAAGCCTGTCAAGGTCAGCCTCTCCCTTACTGCCACCCCAACCCCACCCAATGTGGGTCGGGAAGGTGGTGCCTGTTACCCCAAGAGAATGGGGTCAGCCTCTCTCATACTGCCAACCCCACCCAATGTGGGTCGAGCAGGTGGAGCCTGCTACCCCAAGGAGCAGGTCAGACTCTCCACAATCTGACCTGGGTGGGGAACGTTTGGCCTGCTACCCCAAGGAGCAGGTCAGACTCTCCACACTCTGACCTGGGTGGGGAACGTTTGGCCTGCTACCCTGGGAAGGACTTACCTTCATGGGCTCCCCCTGCGTCCATCACACTCAGACCAACCCAGAAGTGGTCAGTCTCGCCTCTGTAAAAAAATAATAGGAATCAGGTTCTGTCTGACATCTTTGGATAAAGTTTTCGGTTTGAAAGTACCAAGCTTTGTTCTTGTATATTACCAGTCAGCAGTCTACTGTATGGAGCTGAAGTAGTAGTCGTTTCCTTCTTCATGATCATATTCTAAACAGTTTAGATAATTAATGGTTCCTTAGGGCCCCCAACCATTTCCCGTCTTATTTGTGTGGGAACTTTGATGTTCCACTGTTTGTCCTTGTTAATTTGATACCTTCAAGGCAATTTGTGAACGTTAATACAATGTTGGCAGTGGCCAATGGTGTTTTGACCAAGTTTGGTTTGTTTAACGCCACACTCAGCAATATTCCAGCTGTATGACAGCGGTCTGTAAATAATCCAGTCTGGACCACACAATCCAGTGATTAACACCAATCCTCTTACGACAAGCCTAGTTGCCTTTTACGGCAAGCAGGGATTGCTGAAGACCTGTTCTACGCCAGATCTTCTTGGGTGTTCCATCAAAAGAGTGACTTGGAATTAATGCTGTTCTGAACAGTATTTTAGTCATATCATGGAAGGGGAGAAAATCCTATGTGTTGTTTTATACCACTGTGATGGAACCCATAAGTACAAGCACAGTGCTGACAGACCAATTGGGGATCCTAATCAGGGTGAATAGTAGCAGATCCCTAGCTGACTAAGGGATACTACTCTGCAAAAATTGAAAAGATTGTGGCCAGCATGTTGTGTGTAATCTGAGGTTCAACTGATGTATGCAGAATATCATCTCTAATTCAAGTGAGTCAGAAATAACCTAGATGACTCAAGGTCTGGTCGTCCTGAAACATGCCACATCTGAAACTCTAATGGTGGCTATCACCAGATGATCATAGGTGGCCTATGCAGCACAATTCAGCATATTGGAGTGAGTGAGTGAGTGAGTTGGGTTTAACGCCGCTTTTAACAGTATTCCAGTTATATCAGGGAGTGTCAGCTTAAAATTTGAGGAAAGTCCAAAGTGATGCAGGTCTCAGACGTTTACCACTTTGGTGAAACCCACGAGCAGGGGTATGGTGCTGACAAATCTAGAAACATAATCGGGGCGAACTGGGATTCAAACCCACAATCATAGTTTTCTGGCGTGCCCAAAAGACGCAACTCTGCACAGCGAAAGTTGGCGCCTTAGACAACTTGGCCACACAGTCCATCTTAACTGACACTTTTTCTATGAGCAAGCTGTCTGCAAGATGGGTAACCATAATAAAGACACCATAAGCTGATCTGACTTAACATATCCAGGGACCTCTGACCAGTTATCACTAGCATACTGAGACAGTATTGATATAATACTTAGAAACCCAAGATGAGACTTTGGTCCATTACTCTGTATCAAAGTAAACACTCTAGTGAAAACAGTGAAAACAATTGGCCTCACCCACACCACAAGGGTACAAGCTCACTTGTTTGACTCAAATCAGGTTTGACTTTCTGCAACAGGGTCAGACTACAAATAAGCCAACAAGGTGAGATTACCACTAGGCCATCAAAGTGAGACTACCAATAAGCCAACAAGGTAAGACTACCAATAGGCCATAAAGGTGAGACTACCAATAGGCCAACAAGGTGAGACTACAAATAGGCCATCAAGGTGAGACTACAAATAGGCCATCAAGGTGAGACTGCCAATAGGCCAACAAGGTCAGACTACCAATAGGCCATCAAGGTCAGACTACTAATAGGCCATCAAGGTCAGACTGCCAATAGGCCAACAAGGTGAGACTACCAATAGGCCATCAAGGTAAGACTACCAATAGGCCATCAAGGTGAGACTACCAATAGGCCATCAAGGTCAGACTACCAATAAGCCAACAAGGTGAGATTACCACTAGGCCATCAAAGTGAGACTACCAATAAGCCAACAAGGTAAGACTACCAATAGGCCATAAAGGTGAGACTACCAATAGGCCAACAAGGTCAGACTACCAATAAGCCAACAAGGTAAGACTACCAATAGGCCATAAAGGTGAGACTACCAATAGGCCAACAAGGTGAGACTACAAATAGGCCATCAAGGTGAGACTACAAATAGGCCATCAAGGTGAGACTGCCAATAGGCCAACAAGGTCAGACTACCAATAGGCCATCAAGGTCAGACTACTAATAGGCCATCAAGGTCAGACTGCCAATAGGCCAACAAGGTCAGACTACAAATAGGCCATCAAGGTGAGACTACCAATAGGCCATCAAGGTCAGACTACCAATAGGCCATCAAGGTCAGACTACCAATAGGCCAACAAGGTCAGACTACCAATAGGCCAACAAGGTCAGACTACCAATAGGCCAACAAGGTCATACTACCAATAGGCCAACAAGGTCATACTACCAATAGGCCAACAAGGTCAGACTACCAATAGGCCAACAAGGTCAGACAGCCAATAGACCACCAAGGTCAGACTGCCAATAGGCCAACAAGGACATACTACCAATAGGCCAACAAGGACATACTACCAATAGGCCAACAAGGTCATACTACCAATAGGCCAACAAGGTCAGACAGCCAATAGGCCAACAAGGTCAGACAGCCAATAGGCCAACAAGGACATACTACCAATAGGCCAACAAGGTCATACTACCAATAGGCCAACAAGGTCATACTACAAATAGGCTAACAAGGTCATACTACCAATAGGCCAACAAGGTCAGACTACCAATAGGCCAACAAGGTCAGACAGCCAACAGGCCAACAAGGTCATACTACCAATAGGCCAACAAGGTCAGACTGCCACCAGACTGCGGTGGAGTGATTGGGTTGGTCTGTGCGGTTGAGCAACAGCGAGGTGATTACAACAGCTTCTTGTGAAATGAAGCTGAGTGGCACTGGACCAAGTGTTTAAAAGATACAACATATTGAATTGAAAAACAAAAACTTTTCCCTTTTTTGTTGTTGTACTTCTGTCATTTTTTTAGTGTGATCTATCTGATACATGCAGTTACAATAAGAGGAAGAATTTCATTGCACAGTACCAGTTTACAACACAAGGCACACAACTCACAACATGCAAGATCCTTCTGGACAGACTGGGACCTGTTCCTCAAAGCAATCATAGAGCTATGACAACAGTACCTCCTGTACCTTCATATGGTGAATAGCATGACGATTTCTTTGTTAAATGGGCTTTGCTATTTCATTCAATTGATGTGAAGAAGTGGAGTTAACTCACATAAGATAGTTCCTCCAGACGTAGTCCAGGGTTGAGGCGTTATGGAAGCTGGCAAGGTGAGCCTTCTGGCGTTGACAGTCCATCTGGGAGTCTTGCCAGGACAGCTGCAGGTTGATAGGGTGGTTGTTCACCTGGTACAAGAGTGAGTGAGTGAGTGAGTGAATGAGTGAGTGAATGTGGGGGTGGGTGGGTGTGTGAGTGAGTGGGTGAGTGCGGAGTGAGTGAGTGAGTGAATGTGTAGGTGGGTGTGTGAGTGAGTGAGTGAATGGGTGAGTGAGTGAGAGAGTTTGGAGTGAGTTCAGAGTGAGTGAGTGAGTGAGTGAGTGAGTGAGTGAGTGAGCCAGGAGTGAGTGAGTGAGTGAACCCGGACCTTCAGTAGGCTACCCCACTGCCCCTACCTTGTACAATAGAGTCACAATAATGCATTTGTAGAGGTATAAACATAAAAACTAGCGTTCATAAATCCATATATGCAATAACAAATGGGAGTCAATTCTTATAAATAAATTCATCAACAACAATTACTTCACAGACTGCTATTCAATCATTAACACAAAATACTGTTTACACTCATTTATAAAGTTAGTGGCCTATTTTTTTACTTTATGTAAACATGCAGAGATGTTAATCCAATTTACACCAATTACAAATATTTGGGATCATTGGGATTAAAAACAATTGTTTTATAAAAATAAATAATCTTCTGCATTTCCTAAAATCAAAATCTGTAAACATTTAAAGTGAAACTAGTGATCAACGTTTGTTTAGAGTGCCAGGGCTGTCATAATGTTACATCGTCAAATGTCCAAAACATCAACAAAAAGACAAGGTAAAACATTTTGCCTCAGTACAACTGTACTAAATTTGGGAAAAGGCCCTTTGCAGAAAAGTTCCACAAGCACGGAACTAGAAGCTGATCCCGTTTGTTTCCTCGCTAACATTTCTTTGCAATTTATGTCTCCAATGTTGCCTCAGCTACTTCTTAAACACCGATTTTTAGTATCTTAGACAATTATTTCGATTACTATGATAACAACTATCCCAGTATCCCAGGTGCCTGAAGGTTAGTTCTGACTCTATCATCAAGGGCAACGTTGTATGTGTTTTGTTTGTTTGTTTGGCCGCACGCCTCACTCAGCAATATTCCAGCTTTATGACGGTGGTCTGTAAATAATCATCATGAGCATCGATCCACGCAATTGGGATACGATGACATGCATCAACCAAGTCAGCGAGCCATGTTTGTATATAAAGACTGATAGTAATTCCTACATGACCTTATATATTTGCATATATGTCTAAAAATGACCCCAATGGAAACCATTTTTTTCAGTTGGCCCTATCTTGCCGAAAAACGCTATGATTATTTGAAAAACAAACTTACACAGTCATATCAAAATATTGTCTGTTTTTTTAATGCTGGCATGATTTCTACAGATGTTGCCACCTCAGAGAAATGTGCACATCAGTTGCTACAAAAAGCAACAAATCTTGATTCTCATATCCCTCTGTGGTCTAGTGGTTAAAGTGTTCGCTCGTCACGCCGAAGACCCAGGTTCGATTCCCGACATGGGTACAATATGTGAAGCCCATTTCTGGTGTCCCCTGCCGTGATATTGCTGGAATATTGCTAAAAGCGGCGTAAAACCAACCATACTCACTCACTCACTCATGAGGTGTGTGTGTGTGTGTGTGTGTGTGTGTGTGTGTGTGTGTGTGTGTGTGTGTTACTGAGCGCCAGGCAGGGTAACAAGTTTCTTCATTTAGCATGTTTGGTATGACCCTGTCGGGGATCAGTAATGAACCTCCCACTCTTGGATGCTCTGAGTGGATGCTCAATCCATCTTACCATGAGACAGGTCACACGAAAATAGGCAGCATACAAAACTAGGCTGGTTTGGAAAAAGGTTGTGGGTACAACTCTGTATGGTGCAAATTGAAAAGCATTTATCTCATAGCCAGAGGGGAAGGAGGCAATTATTTGATGTAGAGCTTTATGCAGTATATACTGTGGAATGACACTAACGAGAATTAGCCATGCACCCTCTCACTCACCTGATAGCAGTAGGTTCCCCCATCCACCCAGCCTGCCGGACAGGGTATTGTGGGTGGGGTGGGAGGAAGGGTAGCTGGGGCCGTGTACCCCACTCGCATACGCTCACATATGGCAGCGAGGGTGGAGTTGCAGAACGTGTTGTACCATAGGCCAGCATTCACTCCACTGCCCAAAACAACACAGTGACCGTTCTCATCTGGGGAAAACAAATATAGGAGACAAAATGTATATGTTATAAAATACAGGTTTAATAGAGGCAATTCTGAAGATACTCTTTGTGTACAAGAGCATCTTATTGCTATTCTATAGGTTTAAGAGCGTGTTATTGCTATTCAATGGGTAAAAGAACATACTATTGCTTTTTGATGGGTAAAAGAACATACTATTGCCATTAATTCTGATGCTACATAAGCATCTTATTGTATTTGATGGTAACAAGAGCATCTTATTGCTATTCGATGGCAATAAGAGCATCTTATTGCTATTCAATGACAACAAGAGCATTTATTGCTTTTCAATGGGTATAAGAGCATCCTATTGCTATTCGATGGGTAAAAGAACACACTATTGCTTTTCGATGGGTAAAAGAACGCAATATTGCCATTAATTCTAATGCTATAAAAGCATCTTATTGCTTTCGATGGCAACAAGAGCATCTTACTGTTATTTGTTTGAATATTACAAAAATAGTTCCATTGCACTCTGGCTGCCATTCATATCGATGATTCGATTCGAACCTCCTGAAAACATGCGGGTGTCTTCATTCATGGGAACAAGAATATGAATTTTCACCATCATTGGTCGAGTGGTTTCTGACGAGATGTTTACACTGGTCACTACCCAAACAGGCCATGATGTAAGCTCTTTTGACTTTCAGCAAGATGAGCTAAAAGTGGCACAAAACAGTTCTGTGATTTTACTGGAGACACAAGACATTTTAAAAAGAAAGACATTTTACCCTGACCAAATTTGAAAAATATCCCAGAAAGAACCAATCTGAAATCCTGCAGTGCTACTGTTCTGCCGTAGGTACAAGACAGATGTGTTTCCTGCAGTTGTACTGCTCTGCCATGGGTACAAGACAGAACTGTTTCCTGCAGCTGTACTGCTCTGCCATGGGTACAAGACAGATGTGTTTCCTGCAGCTGTACTGCTCTGCCATGGGTACAAGACAGAACTGTTTCCTGCAGCTGTACTGCTCTGCCATGGGTACAAGACAGAACTGTTTCCTGCAGTTGTACTGTTCTGCCATGGGTACAAGACAGATGTGTTTCCTGCAGCTGTACTGCTCTGCCATGGGTACAAGACAGAACTGTTTCCTGCAGCTGTACTGCTCTGCCATGGGTACAAGACAGAACTGTTTCCTGCAGCTGTACTGCTCTGCCATGGGTACAAGACAGATGTGTTTCCTGCAGTTGTACTGCTCTGCCATGGGTACAAGACAGAACTGTTTCCTGCAGCTGTACTGCTCTGCCATGGGTACAAGACAGAACTGTTTCCTGCAGTCGTACTGCTCTGCCATGGGTACAAGACAGAACTGTTTCCTGCAGTTGTACTGTTCTGCCATGGGTACAAGACAGATATATTACCCACAGTTGTACTGCTCGACCATGGGTACAAGACAGATGTGTTTCCTGCAGCTGTACTGCTCGACCATGGGTACAAGACAAAACTGTTTCCTGCAGCTGTACTGCTCTGACATGGGTACAAGACAGAACTGTTTCCTGCAGCTGTACTGCTCTGCAATGGGGACAAAACAGAACTGTTTCCTGCAGCTGTACTGCTCTGCCATGGGTACAAGACAGAACTGTTTCCTGCAGCTGTACTGCTCTGCCATGGGTACAAGACATAACTGTTTCCTGCAGCTGTACTGCTCTGCCACGGGTACAAGACAGAACTGTTTCCTGCAGCTGTACTACTCTGCCATGGGTACAAGACAGAACTGTTTCCTGCAGTTGTACTACTCTGCCATGGGTACAAGACATAACTGTTTCCTGCAGCTGTACTGCTCTGCCACGGGTACAAGACAGAACTGTTTCCTGCAGTTGTACTACTCTGCCATGGGTACAAGACAGAACTGTTTCCTGCAGTTGTACTGTTCTGCCATGGGTACAAGAGAGAACTGTTTCCGATGGTGACACCTCTGAGGACATATTGAGGCCACATCGACTGAACTGACCTGGTTTGTTCTGTGCCCAGTTGGTTACAGATACATGCGTGACACCATCACTGTACTTGTACTCCCCTGACTTCCCAGTGTCACGGACGTCCGTCCACACCTGGTTCTTCTTGGACCCCAGAGAGCTTGCCAGGTACGCTTGCTCATACCTTTAAATATACAATCATAACTAAGTTCATCTAAGAAAACGTTCGCTTGTCATGCCGAAGACCCCGGTTTGATTCCCGACATGGGTACAATGTGTGAAGCCCATTTCTGGTGTCCCCCGCCATGAAATTGCTGGAATATTGCTAAAAGCGGCGTAAAACCATACTCACTCACTCACTAACTCATCTAAGAAAACCAGCTTGTCTCCACATAGAACGGCAAATTCACATCACCAAAGTGTCAACAGAATGTGTGACTGACCTTCACATTTAACATGACCTTGGCACCTTCCATATACCTTTAATTATAACAATAATAACAATAATAATAATAATGTTTACGTTGCACTATATTTCCACACAACACAAAGGCATTCTCAAAGTGCCAATATAATATAATAATAACAATAATACACTTTGAGAATGCCCCTGTGTTGTGTGGAAATATAGTGCAACGTAAACATTACAAATCACTATTATTATTATTACTATTATTTTAAAGAAATTCAGTTTGAGTTTACATATAATGTAAATAACTGCTCAAATGAACATAAGTGTCAACTGGACTGATATTATCACGTTTTTACTTATACACATTCAAAATGAGAATTGACACAAATAAGTTAGATTGTAAGTCCTGTGTGATGCAAAAAAGGTATCCCTTTATGAACTTTTGAATTTTTGCATGTTTCAGATACAACTGACATTTGTATTTTTGGAAGAAATGCACTTAATGCTCAGGGTATCAATGGTCTCCATTCTGACATTGAACTCCCCATTTCTGGTAGGCTAAAAGCTTCTTTACATAGCGAGATGGTCACTGATATTATTTGATGAACAGTCATGGTTAAGTGGTGAAAGATGAAGAACTGAGTTTCATTCCCACAAGGGAACAATTTGTGAAGCTAATTAGGAATATTTTTTATATTTCAGGAATATTGCTTAAAGTATTGTAAAACCCTATTCTCTCTTTTAGATCAGTTTATAAATACCATTCAAGGATGACAAATGCTTGTATTGGTAGTGAATACTAGTGATAGAGAGTGATATGCAAAGAACCTCGTCTGAGTGTCTATTGATATCAGCTGTATCAACACAGTTGATATATGTGAGTATTCTAGCACTCTTGTAGCCTAAAGGTAAATAATGAAAGTCCAAAATCTTCCTCCCAACTATCCAGTTTGTAAACAGCAACAACCAGTGTTTTGAGTGTAAAAATTATATCTAACCAGCTTCAGTAGCAGTGATTTGTGATGTTAATTGTCTGCAAATGATTGTGATGGAATTTCATTGTTGGGATATCTCCTAGGAGATATTGCTTGGTGAGATTGAACGACATCTCCTGTGGAAGCCAGTTTTGACGATAAATATGAATATAGATCTTTGTTGAATGCTGACATAGAACTCTCTAATCAGGTATAAAAAACTCTTGTGATTCTACTTCTTAGAACACATCTGCTCCTTTTTCACACCAATTAATTTAATTCTTAAATCCATTATGAGACAATTATCATATGGATCAAGATAGAGACTGTGGTAGGTCACCTGTCATCAATCCGGACCAAGGATGCTCCAAATGATTCACAAGCATGTGCTGCATCTTCCCAAGACCTCGCCTCTCGTACATACATGTAGCAGGACCACCGATATCCATCCCAGCCCTGAAGATGGATGCCACATCAGATTCATCACAGGGGGACAAGTAATGGGGAGTTATGGGATTGATCTCCTCGTCTATATTGGTTAATGCAGAGTTGAACAGAACTTCAGCTACATCATCGTGTGTAAGCTTAATGTGGGAGGTGGTGGTGGTCTCCCTGGTGATGGTGGTGAGAAGGGAGGTGGTGGTGGAGAGAATGGAGGTAGTGGTGGTCTCCCTGGTGATGGTGGAGGGTGGAGAGAAGGTAGGTGATGGTGGAGAGAATGGGGGTGGTGGTGGTCTCCCTGGTGATGGTGGAGAGAAGGGAGGTGGTGGTGGTCTCCCTGGTGATGGTGGTGAGAAGGGAGGTGGTGGTGGAGAGAATGGAGGTAGTGGTGGTCTCCCTGGTGATGGTGGAGAGAATTGAGGTGGTGGTGGTCGCCCTGGTGATGGTGGAGAGAATGGAGGTGGTGGTGGTCTCCCTGGTGATGGTGGTGAGAAGGAGGTGGTGGTGGAGAGAATGGAGGTAGTGGTGGTCTCCCTGGTGATGGTGGAGAGAAGGGAGGTGGTGGTGGAGAGAATGGAGGTAGTGGTGGTCTCCCTGGTGATGGTGGAGAGAAGGGAGGTGCTGGTGGAGAGAATGGAGGTAGTTGTGGTCTCCCTGGTGATGGTGGTGAGAAGGGAGGTAGTGGTGGTCTCCCTGGTGATGGTGGTGAGGAGGTAGTGGTGGTCTCCCTGGTGATGGTGGTGAGAAGGAGGTGGTGGTGGTCTTCCTGGTGATGGTGGTGAGAAGGAGGTAGTGGTGGTCTCCCTGGTGATGGTGGTGAGAAGGGAGGTAGTGGTGGTCTCCTTGGTGATGGTGGAGAAAAGGGAGGTGGTGGTGGTCTCCCTGGTGATGGTGGTGAGAAGGGAGGTGGTGGTGGTGGTGAGAAGGGAGGTGTTGTGGTCTCCCTGGTGATGGTGGAGAGAAGGGAGGTGGTGGTGGTCTCCCTGGTGATGGTGGTGGGAAGGGAGGTGTTGTGGTCTCCCTGGTGATGATGGTGAGAAGGGAGGTGTTGTGGTCTCCCTGGTGATGGTGGAGGGAAGGGAGGTGTCGGTGGTCGTGGACTTATTACTACAGGGCACAGTCACCAACCTGCTCACATCCGTTGACTACGGGTGCAATGGTGGGTATAGTCGTGGGCATCTTGGGCGCCATACATATGTACTTGTAACTGTTGCCACAGTTCTCGTCCTGCCATCCAGCGGTCTGTCACACAGATCATATATCATCATTCATCACATTGCATTGGAAATATCCTGGTATGTGTAAAGCTTATTGGTATTAGTCATTCAAACAGTTAAATTAAGTAAATTTGTGATCCCAAACACACTGGTTGATCTTCCAGTTTTATCTTTGTGTCTAAGCAAATTGATATCTACCAGGATGAAACAAATATTATCCTGACATTACTAACAGATCCAGACGCAACACCAGATTTCAAGGCGTACGCAAATATCAATGCTGCACTCAGATTCTTGGGTGTTTAGAGTTTTATTTGACATGCGCGAAAAGAATGGTAACTCTTCTTTAAAGGGATGTAATTCTTTATTGGCGCCATTGCCTTGACATTTCAGTGGTACCTTCAAATTACAAGGTACATTATTATCACACTCAAATCACCGTACACCTTGTAATCACTAGACAAGGGAGGTAACCCATGGTGTCTTTTCAACATGGCAGCCATATTACAAATGCTAGAAAACTTTCAGACACATTTTCTATGTTAAATACAATAAACCTGAGTGGAAAAATGGAAAGTGTTCAACATTCATCTCTAATGTTTACTTGTGTTGAAACTTTGCTCATCTAAAAACTGGATCAAACCTCAAAGTTTGAATATGGCAGCCAGTGACCGGATTCACAGGCAAGAAAAGTATTTGATTGACTTATCTGGATTCTCGGATATCTTATCGCAATGAATTGTAAACTAATTCTGCTGAAAACAAAACTTTGCGATATTTTGCACTTAACTTCTTTAGGTGGCGTTTAGAAGTTGTTATGATGAACAAGAGAGATAATTCTATTGATATACAACTTCGTTCTTTATTACAATGAATGCGACGATTCGTTTCAGTGTAGAAATCCTCTAGTGAATGAGTGAGTGAGCATGGTTTTACACCACTTTTATTATCACAGCGGGGGACACCAGGAATAGGCTTCACACATTGTACCCATGTCGGGAATCAAACCCGGGTCTTCGGCATGATGAGCGAACGTTTTAACCATTACGCTACCCGACTGCCCCTACTAACACCACTAACACAGCACATGACTTGCTTGATACCAGTGTTAGTATCTACACAAAAACATCACCTTCCTTGTACTAAAGAAGTTGTATATCAAAAGAACTCATCCCCCTTGTTCATTCTGTGGATATACTATTAGTTATGGTGTCTTTAGTTGCCATATACCATTCATATGAGGTTAGCTGAAAAATCTCCTTACCTGGAACTTGAGCACAACACAGTCTTCATAGCGACCAGGCTGGTTGCTAGGCTCATTGGCGTTCCAGTTGGTGTACATGACCGGACGCTGATTTGACCACTCGTAAAACATGTTTTCCTGAAGGTCATTGAGACCGAGCCACATGTCATCCTTGGCTGTAGGTCATCAATATATTAAACATATCACACATCAGAATATCTTCTCAATGTAATATCTGTACATGTAATGAAATATAAAAAGTTATTTTTTCAAATTTACGTGAACTTTTGACATGACCTGCAACTTCCATGTCCACCAGACCGTCTCCGTGGTCTAGTGGTAGAGTGGTAGAGCGTCCGTCTGGGGACGGGGGTTCTATCCCCAGCTGCATCATACCAAAAGACATTAAAAGATGGTACTTGTTGTTACCCTCTCTGGCGCTCAACATTAAGGGGCTAAAACAACAACCGGTCAGTACTGTGTCTGAGTGGGGTATTCATGCTAAACTGTGGCATGGTATCTCAGTGAGCTAGCACTATAAATCGGGATCAGTTTGGACTAAAACAAGCACCCACATGCACGTCACTATATAAGAGCAATAATCCTGGGGGCAATGTTAAACCCCATTTCACCTCACCTCCACATCCACCATTTCTGTGACAAGTTGAGGACGGCAGAATAAATCCCTAAATTGGTAGTCCAGACTTAATTACTCATCAGTTGCTCACACTATTGACCACTGGTTTCTATAACTTGGATCAAGCTTAGTTATTACCCTCTTGACCACTGGTGTAGCTGTCTAGACTTAATTACTCCTGTCATTCATACTATTCTACAAATAATTACTCTTGATGAGGTCAATATACGAAAACAAAAACCTGTTGACTCAACCCTTGAGGTGATCTGAGCCAGACCGAGACTGCAGGCCAAGGTCCAGTCATACAACCGAAGGGCTTGGGTCCACGTCAGACAGCCGAAGGGCTTGGGTCCAAATTAGACAGTCGAAGGGGTTGGGTCCAAGTGAGACAGCCGAAGGGCTTGGGTCCAAGTCAGACAGCCGAAGGGGTTGGGTCCAAGTCAGACAGCCGAAGGGCTTAGGTCCAAGTCAGACAGCCGAAGGGCATGGGTCCAAGTCAGACAGCCGAAGGGCTTGGGTCCAAGGGGCCTTGGCTTTTTTTTCATATTGACCTTGTCAAAAGTAGCCATTCAGTTTCTTATACAGAAATTCACTTTAAGGTTTATGAAGCCTCCCGATTTAGAACAGTGACTTAGATGCGAAAAAAACCTGTTGACTCAACCCTTGAGGTGATCTGAGCCAGACCGAGACTGCAGGCCAAGGTCCAGTCATACAACCGAAGGGCTTGGGTCCACGTCAGACAGCCGAAGGGCTTGGGTCCAAATTAGACAGTCGAAGGGGTTGGGTCCAAGTGAGACAGCCGAAGGGCTTGGGTCCAAGTCAGACAGCCGAAGGGGTTGGGTCCAAGTCAGACAGCCGAAGGGCTTAGGTCCAAGTCAGACAGCCGAAGGGCATGGGTCCAAGTCAGACAGCCGAAGGGCTTGGGTCCAAGGGGCCTTGGCTTTTTTTTCATATTGACCTTGTCAAAAGTAGCCATTCAGTTTCTTATACAGAAATTCACTTTAAGGTTTATGAAGCCTCCCGATTTAGAACAGTGACTTAGATGCGACCGTGAAATGATTGTACCAGACCCCATCTTGTTTGCTAGCAGACGAGTCAATATTCATCACGTGACAGGTCAATACTGTTCATGTGACGAGTCAATATTTGAGGTCTGGGTCAGTCACGGGATTTCGGGGGCTACATTGAATTGTATTGTTTTGTCACGTGGTACACACTAACCAATGAAATTGCAAGATTCTCAATAGCGATAATCCAATGACCATATATGCATTGGTGTACCTGTCCAGACTCAAAACTCCTGTTTCTTACACTATTGACCATCGGTGTTGTGCATTGTTGGTCGGTTGGTTTGTTGTTTAACGCCTCACTCAGCAATATTCCAGCTATATGACGGCGGTCTGCAAATAATAGAGTTTGACCAGACAATTCAGGGATCCACGCAATTGGGACCGATGACATGCATCAACCAAGTCAGTGAGCCTGACCACCCCATCCTGTTAGTCGCCTCTTAAGACAAGCATAGTCGCGAGCAAGTGGAAAGCATGGGTTGCTGAAGACCTAGTCTACCCCGGATCTTCAGGGGTCTGTTGTGAATTGTAATCACTCACCTTCTGACATGAGTGAGAACACAAAGTCCTGTTGATCCTGGCTGTTGATGGAGGCCAAGTCACTGGTCTGGCGCAGGCACTGGGCACGGGCATTCTGCCAGGTCACAATCTGGTCATTCACTTGATAGCAGTCATCTTTATAGCTCTTCCACCCGTCTTGGCAAACCTTTTCAAACGCTTTGAAGAAAAGATGGATCACCATCAGCCAGTGTCATCTTCAACACAACCTATTCCAGCCTAGTTCAAAACTTTGGTGTCGGATAAAAATCTTAATTCCTTAAAGGGCAAGTTCACACGAAAATAAACCTATTTTTCTTGTACTTTTTCATCATGAAAAGTACTTACCAAGTAGTTTTGGAGGCAAAACAATTAAAATATCACACGTATCAAATTTATATTATTCATAAAATTGGTTCACATTTTCACACTTATCGCGAGCTCGCTACATTGACTGTGAGAAAAATGAGTGTATATTTTCAAACACTGATACTAACTTATTCTAAAATTCCGTTTTGTTTAAAATAAGAAAGAAAGTGATTTTTGCGTGTACACTTCCCCTTTAAGTTAATTCCTAATGGTCCTCCAAGTTTTCCATCCAACAAAATTAACTTAATTTTGTTGAAGGAATATAGGTTTTTATCCGACATGAAACTTTTGAACTGGACCCTGAGTGGAACACACCAACAACAAGTTTCAATTTGAGAAAGAGGCGCTATTATATTTGCGAAAGAACAAAGTGAAATCTTTTAAATGTAGCATTTTAATAAGCATAATAATAAGGAATTGACCTTCACTTTGTGTGGGTTCATTGGAGTATGAATCTTCATAGAGTGAGGGCTAAACATCGTAGCAACAACTTTTCATTTTGAAACCAACAAGTGTACATATAATTACCGTATTCGACATAAGCGCCCAGGGCGCTCTCAAAATTAGAAATAGGGGGCTCTTATTACAACATTATTTTGGTATTAAAGAACAGAGTTGAAAGATCGTAAATTTTGTGGTTTATGCTGACAGCCTGAAATGTTTATATACGACAGATATATTTTTCCAGAATTTAATTTCCCATAATTAAGGATGCATATAACACATGTATTATACACAAATTAATAAGTCTTGATTTTTTACCAACTTACAAACACTGTTTTACCACTCTCTTAAAAATATTCATTGTCATGTGAAATATAGAAAATGAAACAAAAGAAGAAAAAAAAATCACGTGATTTTTTTCAATCATTTTCTGTATTTCACATGACAAAGAATATTTTTAAGAGAGTGGTAAAAAATCGACCAGTATTAATACCCTGGTTATAGTACATCGATCATTCAGAAGGGGTGCTAATTGGGATTGTTAACTAACCAATATATTAGCAAATATCGCCGTGGGCGCTTGTTAGAGCGGGGCACTTATTACGTCGAATACGGTATTTTAAAATGCCAACTGACAACGAATGAGGAAGAAGCAAAGTGTAGTGTATTATCACTGCATGCTGTTAGGTGCTGCAGAGGCGGGTGGTATTGTTTACATTACAGCCGTGCCATGTCTACACTGCCTGGCATCATCAGTGTATGTCTTGTTCTTGTTTGTTTGTTTGTTGTTTAATGCAGCACTCAGCAATATTCCAGCTATGGACAGCTGTCTGTAAATAATCAAGCCTGGACCAGACAATCCAGTGATTGATATCATGAGCATATTACGCAATTGGGATCAATGACATGCATCAACCATGTCAGGGAGACTGACCACTTGATCCTGTTAGTCGCCTCTTACGACAAGCATATACCTTTTACGGCAAGCTTGGCTTGCGGAAGACCTATTCTACCCCGGATCTTCATGGGCCATCAGTGTATGTGGATCATGGCATCGTCAGTAAATAATTGAACCACCAATAGACGTTTATGGTGTGATTTGCTCCTGTCCCATACAACAAAAATATTTTCCAACGTAGAACGTAGAACATATTTATTTTTGAACAATTTATTTTTCTTTCTAGTCATTTCAAACTAGGTAATGAATGCACCCTTTGACTTAAAAAAATCACAGAATTCTTTTTCTTCTTTTGTTTCATTTTCTGTAGTTAACATGACAATGAATATTTTTAAGAGAGTGGTAAAACAGTGTTTGTAAGTTGGTAAAAAGTCGACCAGAACTAAAGAGAAGGAGGCATAGTTTATTTGTCTGCCCTATGATATTGAATGCACAGATCTTACACAGCCCTGTACTGTGGACGTAGTTGGCCAGGGGGCCGCCACACTTCATGTTGGGGTGGGGGAAGCAGGGCATGGAGCAGTTGGCGGCGGGGCCGTACTTCCCGTACGAGTTGCCGCAGAAACACTCATATCCGTTCTGTATTCCAGCGTAGAAATAACCCTGTGTAAGAAAATGATATCCTCAATAAGATACTCTTCTGACACCACTGCAAGAGTTTATTTGTTGTTTGTTTGTTTGTTGTTAAATGCCGCACTCAGCAATCTTCCATCTATATGACGACGGTCTGTAAATAATCGAGTCTTGACCAGACAATTCAGCAACTCTTACGACAAGCATGGTTGCACCTGGACAAGACAATCCAGTGATTGACATCATGAGCATCAATTAAGATAGGATGATATGCATCAACCAAGTCAGTGAGCTTAACCACCCGATCCCCTTAGTCACCTCTTACGAAAAGCATGGTCGCCTTGTCTATTTGTACCCATAATGCATCCAAATTATACAGAGAAACAAAATGCCAACTGTCATGGAAATGCTCTTGTGACATCGTATGCTTCCACCATACATTCTGCAGCAATCTTGACACAATCATAGGTCTTTATAGCCTGAACACGCAGAGTGAGTGAGTAAAGTTTGCTTTAGCAATATTCCAGCAATATCATGGCAGAAGACACCAAAAATGGGCTAAACACATTGTACCCATGTCGGAATTGAACCCGGGTCTTCGGCATGATGAGGGAGTGCTTTGACCACTAGGCTTCCCAACCGCCCGAACAAGCAAATAGGAAATATAAATCTCATTTTCGTGTAATAGTAAGATGTTTTCCATAAAACTGACCAATGCTTTCATTCCCGATTTTTCTTTTTAAATTTCATCATGCAGTATTAGCCTGGGAAGAACGGCACCCAGTGGAAGATGCTTTGGGTAGAAGCAGACGAAAATGGGGATCGGCTAGTCAAAATTGATGGCCTAGCTGTTTGTGTTTAATCATTTGAGAGGCATTAATGTTTGCTTTTGAATCTCTGATTTATCTGGCAAAGACTTTATTTACAAGCTGTCTATGATATGGACAGAATGTTTCACTCAGCTCAGGTGATAACACCAGCAACTCACGGCCCAGAAGGCCTACCCTGAAGTAGACCGCCTCCATGGTCTAGTGGTAGAGCATCCGCTTGGAGAGGGGGGCACGGGTGGCCCAGTCGTCTAAGGCGCCGCGATTCGCTATGCAGAGTTGCGTCCCTTGGGCACACCAGAAACCTATGATTGTGGGTTCGAATCACGGTTCGCCCCGATTATGTTTCTAGGTTTGTCAGCACCATACCCGTGCTCGTGGGTTTCACCAAAGTGGTAAACGTCTGAGACCTGCATCACTGCGGGATTTCCTCCCACATTAAGCTGACTCGCCGCTATATAACTGGAATACTGTTAAAAGTGGCGTTGAACCCAACTTACTCACACACTCACGCTTGGAGAGCGGAAGGTCCGGGTTTGTTCCCAGGCCACGTCATACCAAAGGGTGTTTTAAGATGGTACTTGTTGTTACCCTGTCTGGAGCTTGGCATTAAGGGGATAAAACAAGGATTGGTCAGCTCGGAGTCAGTATACTGTGTCCGAGTGGGGTATTCATGTTTAACTGCAGCATGGTATCTCAGTGGGCTAGCACTATAAATCGGGATCAGTTCGGACTAAAACAAGCAGCCACACACACGTGCATGCACGTCGCAAAATAAGGCAAAAATCTTGGCTGCGACGTTAAACCCCAATTCAACTCACCTTGAGGTAACAGTGGTGTATACAGGACGGAGGCCACACCCCAGCGGCTGGGTCACTAAGGGGTTCATAGGGCAGATCCCGGTCTTCCTTCACATCGGTGAAACACCCTATCGCCACCCCCGACATGGGACCTGGAACAAAGAGATCGTCTCACAAACTCCAGCCTTGCAATGTCAAATGCGAGGATAGTGAGATGCTTTTAATGCAGAATTTATTTGCTACAATTGCTCAAAAAAGACTCTCTTGTAAGAAGATGATTTAATTTTGTAATAAACAGTTGGATTGGTTATCACTATCCGCCACCATGGGGCTCATTAGAATTATGTTTTGTCATGGTAGTGAACTATAAACTATAAAAAGAGTCCTATAAAGCCTTAAGAAGAGATAGCCACTTGGACTGCTTTACGTCTTCAGAAACAATTATTAAATGTGAAATTAATACACACAAAAAGCCCCTCCTCTGGAAACAATAACTCATCCCCATTGCAGACACTATGCAGTACCTAACTAAAATTACATGGATCAAGGGCGGTAACTCTGTAAAAAATAACTTACGGGACAAATTTTCAACCTCAGACTTGATAAGTGTCTTATAAATAAGCATGCAAACTTTCATTCATGCAACTGCAGTCGTTTCTGAGAAAACTTGTCCCCATTTCAATCAGTATGCAGTAAGTTGAACATGAATTTATGACCCCGATTTTCAAACTCATGACCAGTAACATCAGTGTGTAAAATTTCATTTCTCTGACTTAGATAGTTTTTGAGAAAATTAGTCCCCTTTGAGAAGTGGACGGTCGGAAAGACACACAGACGGACGGACGAACTCTGTTCCCCACTTCATGGCAGGGTATACAAAATTTCCAGTGAGGTCATCCCATTATCCTGTCTTTGGATAGTCTGGGTATTTTATAAATAATAACACACACACACACCCCTCCCCCCGACCTCTCCATTTCACACACAAAATACTGCTGATTTTATATTGCAACCTTTGTACCTGCAATGTTGTGAATGAACCACCAGGCTATGGAGGCTGATAAACCACAATGCTCTTTAGAATCTATTTGTCGAGTACATGTACGCCAGCATGAGATATTTTATGTCTGTTTCCTGAGGTTTATGACGACCCTTGGACTTGTTTTATCCCGCACATGTAACACTGTATATCTGACTGAACTGTCGGCAATGAGGAACACACAGGGTCCTCTGATGAAAGATCAATGTCTCCAGTTTTTATCTACGATCATCAGGCATAATGAAACATGGTTTTTAGTTTGACCCTTTCTTTTTTGCTCGGCTTGGGGTTTACCTTGGTGACAGGTGGAAATGAGCTCGGTTCTTTTGATTAGCTTGTCAGATGTTAGCATGAGAATCTCGAGCTTCTCTTCCATGCATAGATTGCAAATACCTGAGTCTCTTTTGTTGGTGTTTGATTTCTTGATTATGTCCCATTTGATTTTGTAATTGGTTTTGTTTCGTTTTAACTTCCAGATGTGCTTGGAGAGTTGTCTCTTTTTCATATTTCTCAAGCCGAGCAAAAAAGAAAGGGTCAAACTAAAAACCATGTTTCATTATGCCTGATGATCGTACGCAATACCATGGAGTTGCAAAATGATATAAGGAAAATGTATCCAAATCTGTATTTATGCTCTACTTTGTATTGAGCACTCTCTTCTGCAATTGGATCATACTTGTATATATATATATATATATACACTCTTTCACTATCAAGGAGTGAGTGAGTGAGTAAGGTTTTACACTTTTACACTACTTTTAGCAGTATCACTGGGGACACCAGAAATGGACTTCACTCATTGTACCCATGTAAGGAATTGAACCCAGGTCTTCAGCATGACTAGCAACATTTTAACCACAAGGCTACCCGACCGCCCCTTCACTATTAAGGAAAACACACATCAAGCAGATTCATTAATGTGAACTTTGACGTTTTGTACCTGGACAGCCATACACCTCCCATCTGAGAGCAATCCTTTTTTGGAAGTCTGTCGGCCACAGCCGCAGGAAGCGGACGTTCATGGGGATCATGAGGTAGTGCTTCCTCACCGTCTCCGAGTCCCAGTTTCCGTCAAATGTCTGACAATACAAACAATAAGAGAAATAGCCTCCGTTTTGTATGACATATCATGGTCATCCTCTGTATCTCCAGGGCTCACATTTCAGTAAGCCTATTCTAAACCCTGGATCCATTCCCGTGGTTCTTGTCATCTCAAATTACCTGCCCTTGAGTTTCATAACATTTTACCGACCAATGAAACGTAGAGGTAAGGAAAAAGAAACGTAGAGGTAAGGAAAAAGAAGCGTAGAGGTAAGGAAAAGAAATATAGAGGTGTAAGGAAAAAAGAAGCGTAGAGGTAAGGAAAAATAAACATAGAGGTAAGGAAAAATAAACATAGAGGTAAGGAAAAAGAAACGTAGAGGTAAGGAAAAAGAAGCGTAGAGGTAAGGAAAAGAAATATAGAGGTAAGGAAAAAAGAAGCGTAGAGGTAAGGAAAAATAAACATAGAGGTAAGGAAAAATAAACATAGAGGTAAGGAAAAAGAAACATAGAGGTAAGGAAAAAGAAATATAGAGGTAAGGAAAAAGAAATATAGAGGTAAGGAAAAAGAAAAATAGAGGTAAGGAAAAAGAAACATAGAGGTAAGGAAAAAGAAGCGTAGAGGTAAGGAAAAAGGAAATGGGTAAGGGGGAACTTGTCACCACCAGTTTTAATGGACATGAAGACAAATCAAAAAGATTTTTAGGGCTTTCTATTGCGTGTCTTTCAATGTTGAATTTCTCACAAACTCTATCGTAATCAATGGGATTGCCCGCCATGTTGTTTTATATCGCTGACCTAACATTGAAGCTGGTTTGTAACTCGCATTCTGATTGGTTCGTTAGACTGAGTTGCATAACAAACCAAATCGGCAGGCACTTTGAGATTGTGAGAACCACATTTGAGCCCTGGGATATAGATGATGTATCTTGGTTTGTTACTGAGCATTCATCTACGCTATTGGGATACGAGACATGCATGAACCAAGTCAGCGAGCCTGACCACCCGATCCCGTTAGTCGACTTTTCCGACAAGCATAGTTGCCTTTTACGGCAAGCATGGGTTGCTGACGACCTATTCTACCCCAGATCTTCACAGGTCCCCCTTGTGGTAGAGAATGCTCTTGTGCTGTACCTGTACTGTGTTGCCCACGTAGTAAGGGAACCACTGTTTGCCATCGGTGGAGGAGGATAGGGTGTAGGCTCTCACAAACTGGTTCTTGTCATCTCGCCCTTGAGTGGCCACGGCCGTCACCTCCACGACACGTCCCAGGTCAACCTGACGAGCAGCAAACAGCAGGGCATCAAATGTCACTCTTACCTAACTTAAAAATATGATCTTTATGGGATTCCATTGAAGAACTGATCACCCGTAACTTTCGGTGAGGTGGAATAGGGTATAATGTCCAAGATTATTGCACTTATATAGTGACTTGCATGTGCGTGCGTGTGCATAAATGTCTGTATGCGCGTTTATATATACGCGTATGTGTGCGCATGCGAATTAATGTTTATGTGGCTGCTTGTACTTGTTCGGGTTTTTGCTGGTTTTAGAGTGATAGCCCTCTGAGATGCCATGCCGACGCTAAATCTGGATACTCCTCTTAGACACAGTATACTTTGAGCTGACCAGTCCCTGTTTCATCCCCTCAATGCTGAGCCCCAGGCAGGGTAGCAACAAATACCATTTTGATTACATCTTTTGTAACGATGCAGGCATGCAGGGACTGAACCACAGTAGCTCATTGTTGTAGGAGTCAACTTACAATCAATCTGTCTGGCTGATGGCGAGTCAGGTGTCTCGAGCTGCCACCATCCTCTATGGACTCCCATACAAACCAGTATGCACTACAAATTCCTCGACAGTGAGGGATTTTGGTTTCATGCACTTTTAAACAGTATTTCAGTTAAATCACAGAGTAAATCCACAATCATAGGAACTGCACTCCCTTGGACAACTTGTCTCTCTGTGCCCCTCAGTCTATATCCATCGTTATCCATGGACGCACAGACAAACCTGTATATACTGGTTCTTGTCATTGTACTCCGCCTCCCACGCCCCGATGTAGTCGCCCTGGGCTGGCTGGTTGAGGCGGGACCGTTGAGGACCATGTTCTGAGTTGAGGGAAGACGAGGCCGTGATCTGACTGTCATCGATCTTCTGTGGTCCACTGATGAGAGGAATCTCCCTACATGCTGAAACACAGTGTTTCTCCAGTAACTGTTGAGATTCCAGTGAGTGAGTGAGTGAGTGAGTGAGTGAGTGAGTGAGTGAGTGAGTGAGTGAGTGAGCGAGCGAGCGAGCGAGCGAGCGAGAGAGCGAGGTTTTACGCCGCTTTTAGCAATATTCAAGCAACATCATGGTGGGGGACACCACAAATAGGCTTCATACATTGTATCCATGTCGGAAATCAAACCTGGGTATTCAGCGTGACGAGCGAACTCTTTAACCACTAGGCTACCCGACCGCTCCGTTCTGCAACAGGCCGATTTTGGGCAATATGGTTGTCATAAGTCTATGTCAAGGTATGGGGATTAGGATAATCTTAAGGCTCAAATCAGAGTTGCTTCTGGGCACCCAGCAGTGAGTGGGTACCTGATCGAATGACACAGTTATGTGACTGTTAACCTTCTAGCACCTTGGGTTGTATACTCCTCAGGGAGCTGAGCATGGAACTTGAGAGCACACTGATATACATTAACAGGGGTAATAATAATATAGCACAATATAAATTGCTTATTAATTTTATTTTTAGACCTTAATACTTGGTGAATTACAAACTCTCAGTCTGATATAGATGAACTCATAAATAAGAAACACTTTCTGAAATTGCAAAGAAAGTTACCATATGGCCGTGTATAAGGCGAGGGGTTTTTTTTACCTAAAGTTAGGGGGCTTTCAAGGGGGGTCGCCTTATACACAGGGTTGAAGAGTTTTGATGTTTTTTTCCCCAACACAAAGACATTACTATGAGCACGTAACACCAGAAATACCATGTCAACAAATCTGTACTGAAGTACGCAAATAATCATGTAATTACACTGTCTGGTTATAAAAAGTGTTCAGGTGTTCAAAGCGTCATAAAAAGGTATACGATGTAATTTTTTTCTGCTGAAGACAAACACTTTCTTATAACAAATGTAGGGATTGTGTATGCACTGGTGATGTGCTTAATTCCAATTCGGTTTATAGAGGAGGTATATAAATTAGCATCAATTTTGAATGCTTTTGTATCTTTTTAATATAGTTTTTATGTATCTTAAAAGTTCTTAAAGGGCTCTTATTGTCTCCCATATTCTAATTTTGACAACATTCCTCATGACCATGTGAAACTAATCGTTTTATATTGCAATTTCCTTTCAAGGCCAAGCCAATCAGATTACATTTTTTAACGATCTACTTATCATTTTTTGGCCATATAAATTATTATTTAAATTATGAAACAGAAATAATAGTCTCGTAACAGTATAAGCACAAATGTACTGTTAAATGAACATATTGCTTTTAATAGTTTTCTCCTGCTCTCTCCAATAAAGACCTGAAGAGATTTTTTTAGTTAAAGGACAGCATGTTTCCATGAAAAAATGAACTGATAAAACAAGGCTGTGTATTATACACAAGAAAAAATAACATGAGGCTCATTCCATCAATAATGTTTTTTACAATAAAATGAGATTTTTGTTGTATCTTATTTTTGTCCCTACTACCCCAGGAATTTTGGGAATGAAAGTATAAATTTTAAAAACAATTAATGAATCCAGGCTAAGTGTGAAAATCCGTTATGAATTATAACAATCGGGAAGCTCATTCGGAACTCACTGATTGGGCAGACAAAGAGGTCGACCCTGAGGGCTATTGCAGTATGGAAGTCGATGACGCTGATGCGCACATGTTGGGCTTGGAAGTGAGACTTCATGAAGTTCGTCACAGACACATTGTTGATGGTATTCCCTGTAAAAATCTGCAACCAAACACACAGTGTGTAGAGAGTGTCGATAACAGTGATAATGCACAAGCCCAACACGAATGTACCTGTGGCAACATTGGTAATATTTGTTTGTTTGTTGTTTATCGCCTCTATCGTCATCGTTATATGACGGCAGTCTGTAAATAATTTATTCTGGACCAGATAATCCAGTGATTGACATCATGAGCATCAATCCACGCAATTGGGATATGATGACGAGCCTGACCACCTGATTGTTAGTCGCTTCTTATGACAAGCAAAGTCGCCTTTTACAGTAAGCATGGGTTGCTGAAGATCTATTCTACCCCGGATCTTCACGGGTCAGTAATATTTATAGTAAGTGAGTGAGTAAGGTTTTACGCCACTTTTAGCAATATTCCAGCAATATCACTAGGGGAACACCAGAAATGGGCTTCACACATTGTACCCATGTCGGGAAACAAACCCGGGTCTTTGGCGTGACGAGTGAATGCTTTAACCACTGGGCTACCCGACTGCCCCAAGTAATATTTCTAACACTGAATGGTTTTGTCAGTGCAGGGATGCTCAGCAAATACCATTGGATCCACATTGCTATCAGCAAAATTCCAGCTAAATGAAAGCAACATGTATCTATAAAGTCTGGATCAGACAATCTAGTGATTGATCGTAAGAGCAACAACCTGGGACGCTGGGGTAAGATGACATGCCAAGTCACTGTGCCTGACACCCAATCCATCACGACCTCTCTCTTGACAAGTATAGGTTGCTGGGAACCTATTTTAATCCAGGAACACCACTTGGGTCATCATGACCTTAGAATGGGACTGAATACAGCTGTTTGATATATTTCTATAGAGTTGCATGTCTAAATAAACATGATATTTCATTCTTACATAATCTGTTCCATATGGTTCCTGATAGGTGAAGTATCGGTTCGTCCCATCTTCGATTCGGTAGTTCACCTTGTACTTGGTGACCCACTCCAGGGCACGGGGATTGCCTTCCGTGGTGACCCCTCGTATGACCTTTACAGATCCAAGGTCAATCCCCAGCCAGTTTCCTGCGTCAGCTGATGTCGGCTTCCAGCAGGATGGGTAATAATGTACTCCGTTAGCATGCAGACGACAATCGTGTGGACTGTGTATAGGGTCAAGGACACTGGAGGCAGTGAAGCCGCCATCTTGGACAAACAGTGGCCCACTCACTCCATACTCCGCAAAACAATCGTCTGAAATTAGTGGAAATAATCTGGATATTATGACTGAGCAAGTGAATTTGCAATCAGAAATCATCAATACATCACTATTACTGCACCCTCTAAATAATCGGCTGATGGAATGAGTAAACATTTCCATGAAGTTTGGGGAATGATGACACACAAACATCAAGGTCTTGGACAAATATCAGTACTTGGGTCCCCTTCCGCCCAAGACTCCCCACATGAGCAGGGGAACTTATTTTGCCCAGGTCCCCACATAAACACAAGCAAGATGTCCTGACTATTTATTCTGTCCTGGAATCCTCACATGAACACAAGCAGGATGTCATGACTATTTATTCTGTCCTGGAATCCTCACATGAACACAAGCAGGATGTCATGACTATTTATTCTGTCCTGGAATCCTCACATGAACACAAGCAGGATGTCCTGACTATTTATTCTGTCCTGGAATCCTCACATGAACACAAGCAGGATGTCCTGAGGATTTATTCTGTCCTGGAATCCTCACATGAACACAAGCAGGATGTCATGACTATTTATTCTGTCCTGGAATCCTCACATGAACACAAGCAGGATGTCCTGACTATTTATTCTGTCCTGGAATCCCCACATAAACACAAGCAGGATGTCCTGACTATTTATTCTGTCCTGGAATCCTCACATGAACACAAGCAGGATGTGATGACTATTTATTCTGTCCTGGAATCCACACATGAACACAAGCAGGATGTCCTGACTATTTATTCTGTCCTGGAATCCACACAAGAACACAAGCAGGATGTCCTGAGGATTTATTCTGTCCTGGAATCCTCACATGAACACAAGCAGGATGTCCTGACTATTTATTCTGTCCTGGAATCCTCACATGAACACAAGCAGGATGTCCTGACTATTTATTCTGTCCTGGAATACTCACATGAACACAAGCAGGATGTCATGACTATTTATTCTGTCCTGGAATCCCCACATGAACACAAGCAGGATGTCCTGACTATTTATTCTGTCCTGGAATCCCCACATAAACACAAGCAGGATGTCCTGAGGATTTATTCTGTCCTGGAATCCTCACATGAACACAAGCAAGATGTCCTGACTATTTATTCTGTCCTGGAATCCCCACATGAACACAAGCAGGATGTCATGACTATTTATTCTGTCCTGGAATCCACACATGAACACAAGCAGGATGTCCTGAGGATTTATTCTGTCCTGGAATCCCCACATGAACACATGCAGGATGTCATGACTATTTATTCTGTCCTGGAATCCTCACATGAACACAAGCAGGATGTCATGACTATGTATTCTGTCCTGGAATCCCCACATAAACACAAGGAGGATGTCATGACTATTTATTCTGTCCTGGAATCCCCACATAAACACAAGCAGGATGTCATGACTATTTATTCTGTCCTGGAATCCTCACATGAACACAAGCAGGATGTCCTGAGGATTTATTCTGTCCTGGAATCCTCACATGAACACAAGCAGGATGTCCTGACTATTTATTCTGTCCTGGAATCCTCACATGAACACAAGCAGGATGTCATGACTATTTATTCTGTCCTGGAATCCCCACATAAACACAAGCAGGATGTCATGACTATTTATTCTGTCCTGGAATCCTCACATGAACACAAGCAGGATGTCATGACTATTTATTCTGTCCTGGAATCCACACATGAACACAAGCAGGATGTCCTGACTATTTATTCTGTCCTGGAATCCACACATGAACACAAGCAGGATGTCCTGAGGATTTATTCTGTTCTGGAATCCTCACATGAACACAAGCAGGATGTCGTGACTATTTATTCTGTCCTGGAATCCTCACATGAACACAAGCAGGATGTCCTGACTATTTATTCTGTCCTGGAATACTCACATGAACACAAGCAGGATGTCATGACTATTTATTCTGTCCTGGAATCCTCACATGAACACAAGCAGGATGTCCTGAGGATTTATTCTGTCCTGGAATCCTCACATGAACACAAGCAGGATGTCGTGACTATTTATTCTGTCCTGGAATCCTCACATGAACACAAGCAGGATGTCCAGAGGATTTATTCTGTCCTGAAATCCCCACATAAACACAAGCAGGATGTCCTGACTATTTATTCTGTCCTGGAATCCCTACATAAACACAAGCAGGATGTCCAGAGGATTTATTCTGTCCTGGAATCCCCACATAAACACAAGCAGGATGTCGTGACTATTTATTCTGTCCTGGAATCCTCACATGAACACAAGCAGGATGTCCTGAGGATTTATTCTGTCCTGGAATCCTCACATGAACACAAGCAGGATGTCCTGACTATTTATTCTGTCCTGGAATCCCTACATAAACACAAGCAGGATGTCATGACTATTTATTCTGTCCTGGAATCCTCACATGAACACAAGCAGGATGTCCTGAGGATTTATTCTGTCCTGGAATCCTCACATGAACACAAGCAGGATGTCCTGAGGATTTATTCTGTCCTGGAATCCTCACATGAACACAAGCAGGATGTCCTGACTATTTATTCTGTCCTGGAATCCCTACATAAACACAAGCAGGATGTCGTGACTATTTATTCTGTCCTGGAATCCTCACATGAACACAAGCAGGATGTCCTGAGGATTTATTCTGTCCTGGAATCCTCACATGAACACAAGCAGGATGTCGTGACTATTTATTCTGTCCTGGAATCCTCACATGAACACAAGCAGGATGTCCAGAGGATTTATTCTGTCCTGGAATCCTCACATAAACACAAGCAGGATGTCATGACTATTTATTCTGTCCTGGAATCTTCACATGAACACAAGCAGGATGTCACGACTATTTATTCTGTCCTGGAATCCTCACATGAACACAAGCAGGATGTCCTGACTATTTTTTCTGTCCTGGAATCCTCACATGAACACAAGCAGGATGTCCTGACTATTTATTCTGTCCTGGACACACATTAGTTAAAAATAACCATAGTTATAAGCACATATACAGCATATATACAGCAAATGGACAGGGCCAAAAAACAGTTTGTTATAACCTTCAGTTCGTTATAAGCATGTGCGTTATAAACGTAGTTTACTGTACCTTCAATACATCCGAGAATTTCCCACTTGAGAGATATTCCCTTGTTCCACGCTGTGGGCATCAGCTTGATGGACTTCGCTTCTATGGGGAAGTTGAGGAACATCTCCACCGTTGTGGTGCTGTCAATGCAGCCTGTGAACACCTGCAGTGTCGTAAACAGATGGATGGTCTTACACAAACATGGACGGTTTTACACAAACATGGACGGTCTTACACAAACATGGACGGTCTTAAACAAACATGGACGGTCTTACACAAACATGGATGGTCTTACACAAACATGGACGGTCTTACACAAACATGGATGGTCTTACACAAACATGGACGGTCTTACACAAACATGGACGGTCTTACACAAACATGGACGGTCTTACACAGGATAGTCTTACACAAACATGGACGGTCTTACACAAACATGGATGGTCTTACACAAACATGGACGGTCTTACACAAACATGGACGGTCTAACACAAACATGGATAATCTTACACAAACATGGATGGTCTTACAAAAACATGGATGGTCTTACACAAACATGGACGGTCTTACACAAACATGGATAGTGTTACACAAACATGGATAGTTTTACACAAACATGGACGGTCTTACACAAACATTGACAGTCTTACACAAACATGGACAGTCTTACACAAACATGGACAGTCTTACACAAACATAGATGGTCTTACACAAACATGGATAATCATATACAAACACATGGACGGTCTTACACAAACATGGATAATCATAAACAAACACATGGACGGTCTTACACAAGCATGGACGGTCTTACACAAACATGGACGGTCTTACACAAACATGGACGGTCTTACACAAACATGGACGGTCTTACACAGGATAGTCTTACACAAACATGGACGGTCTTACACAAACATGGATGGTCTTACACAAACATGGACGGTCTTACACAAACATGGACGGTCTAACACAAACATGGATAGTCTTACACAAACATGGATGGTCTTACAAAAACATGGACGGTCTTACACAAACATTGACGGTCTTACACAAACATGGATAGTGTTACACAAACATGGATAGTTTTACACAAACATGGACGGTCTTACACAAACATTGACAGTCTTACACAGACATGGACAGTCTTACACAAACATGGACAATCTTACACAAACATGGATGGTCTTACACAAACATGGATAATCATATACAAACACATGGACAGTCTTACACAAACATGGACAGTCTTACACAAACATGGATGGTCTTACACAAACATGGATAATCATATACAAACACATGGACAGTCTTACACAAACATGGACGTTCTTATACACAAACATGGATAATCATATACAAACACAAGGATGGTCTTACACGAACATGGATAATCATATATAACCACATGGATAATCTTACAATCTAAGTAAAATGGCTGCATAATGGCTTTCAACAACATTTGAGAAAATATTTTTGGTAAGTTTCATTAAGAATTAACTTTTAGTTCATGTTGAATTGCCAATTTATACCTACGGCTCCATTGTTTCCAAATCAATATTGCGTCCTACACACATACAAATTTAAAATGTATACTAAATGTTTGTCTGTTTGAATCATTAAAAGAAATTCAGCTGTGGCTATCGTAGCAAGCATGTAAATTACCGTCAATGTCCATGTGACAGTTAATTTTCAAACAAGAATGATCCAATCTATCGTTAGCTTTAACACATGTTGGTGCAGTGGTCACACTGATTGTCAGCCATCAGATTGTCAAGCTTACAACGTTAATTTAAAGGTGAAATGAGGTGATAGCTAGAGATTCAAGATTACTTCACTTATAGAGCGATGTGCATTCTTGTGTGTGTGTTGCTGCTTGTAACAGTGGGAATTATGCTCATTTCATAGTGCTAACTCCCTGAATCACCATGCCAGAGTTTAACTTGAGTGAGTGAGGAGTTAGGTTTAACACCGCTTTACACAGTATTCCAGTCATATCATGGCGTGTCAGCTAATGTGGGAGGAAAGCCTGAGGTGATGCAGGTCTCAGACGTTTACCACTTCGGTGAAACCCTCGGGTACGGGCATGGTTCTGACAAACCTTGAAACATAATTGGGGTGACCAGGGATTCGAACCCACAATCATAGGTTTCTTGGGTGCCCAAGGACAGCGAATTGCGTCGCCTTAGACAACTGGGCCACCTGTGCCCCTGAGTTTAACATGGATACTCACTTAGACATAATTTAATAGACAGACTGAGCCAACCAGTCCTTGTTTTATCCCCTTATCTCTATACGCCAAACAGGGTAACAAATATTGGTTGATCGAAACATGTGACCTTCCACTCTCCGGGCTGACCAGCAGACCAGGGTGGCGGTGTGGTTACTTAATGTGAGTACCTTATCAACTCCTGGAGGGTCTTGGTATGTGTACCAGGGGCTGAAGTAGTCATACTGATACAGCAGCTTGAACTTGGTGACCCACTCGCCGATGTCGCTGCGTCCAGCTATCTGAAGCCCTCGGGTGATGATGATGTTGTAGAAGGTGGCGGAGATCCACTGACCTTGAGCAGACATGGATGCTGACCATCCACCTGGGAGGGAACGCATGTCATAACATTTGCAGGATATTCTGACCTAGAGCAGACATGGCTGCTGACCACCTACCTAGGAGGGGAAATAGGTCGTAACATTTGAAGGTCATTCTGACCTAGAGCAGACATGGCTGCTGACCACCTACCTAGGAGGGGAAATAGGTCGTAACATTTGAAGGACATTCTGACCTAGAGCAGACATGGCTGCTGACCACCTACCTAGGAGGGGAAATAGGTCGTCACATTTGAAGGTCATTCTGACCTTGAGCAGACATGGATGCTGACCATCTACCTGGGAGGGGAAATAGGTCGTAACATTTGAAGGTCATTCTGACCTAGAGCAGACATGGCTGTTGACCATCTACCTGGGAGGGGAAATAGGTCGTAACATTTGAAGGTCATTCTGACCTAGAGCAGACATGGCTGTTGACCATCTACCTGGGAGGGGACATATGTCATAACATTTGAAGGTCATTCTGACCGAGAACAGACATGGCTGTTGACCATCTACCTGGGAGGGGAACATGTTATAACATTTAAATGACATTCAGACCTTGAGCAGTGATGGCTGCTGACCATCTTTTGGGAAAGGAAAATAGGTCATAACATTCAAAGGACATTCTAAAACTGTTGGTGGCAAGATCAAAGGCAAAAAAACATGTTTTCTAAATTAAACTGAACACATATTTCAGGAATACCTTTGGCCTTTGTGAAGAGCTTTAGCATTGCATGTACGTTACTAAACATATTCCTATTCCTGAAAATTTGTTTGTTACAGTTAGCAATATTCCTGCTACATAACAGCGGCCTGTGAGTCACCAAGTCTGGACAAACAATCCAGTGATTGATATCATGAGCAACATCCCATGCCGTCAGGGTATGATTACACACGATCAACCAAGTCAACAAGCCTTACCACCTGATTAACTTAGTTGCCTCTTCTTATGACAAGCATAGGCTGCTTAGGACCGATTTAATTTGGACTGCTGTGTTGCAAAGTGTTTCTAATATGTCAGTTACCAAATGACCATACCACTACCACTAATATTTATATTCTGTGCAGGGACCCATTTACTGGGAGCCAATTCTAACCCAGAATCCCAATGGGGACTTTTTTTATTGTAATGTTGAAAACATTATTAAAAACAAATATAAAGAATGATGTACAGTACAATTTTTTAACTTGATTAACAGATAAGTGTGGTGGGATAGTCTAGTGGTTAAAGCAAGTGCTTATCACACTTTGTTCTCCACATGGGGACAATGTGTGAAACCAATTCCTATGTCAACCCATCCTTATGGCCAGAATAAGGCACAAAGCCCACTCAGTCACTCACCCACCTACTTCATACATACACATAAGTACATCCATCATGGTTTATCACGTTTCACTGGTTGCGGACCTTGCAGCTGTTGAAATTCCTTATTAAAAGACTAGACCAGGGTACTAGTGGAAACTTTATTTCACTAGTCTTCTGAGTTTACAGTTCGTCCTGAATGAAGAAGACAAAAATGTTTACCATGTTTACATTCTGTTTGAATTTGTAGCAAACATGAAATGTGGAGTCATGGTGAAGAATCCTTGCAATCATATGCTACTAGTCAATCAGGGCTATCAGTACTGGATTGTTACTTGTCCTCAACATAGTTTAGTCTTGGGCTAGCCAAAAGCTGCCTTGTACACACACACTCGTCCTCCTACCTGTGTTTCCTGGGATGAGTCTTGATGCCTCTGGTCCATGGTTGGGGTCTCTGGCTGACTGGACCTGAAGCGCCCCCTGCCCAACAGGAAGACTGTAGTTTCCCGAGATCATAGGCTCAGCCCGGCAAAGATCTGGAGAAGCAGAAAAGGAGTGAGTGAGTGAGTGAATGCGATGAGTGAGTGAGCGAGTGAGTGAGTGGATGAATGAGTGAGTGAGTGAGTGAGTATCGTTTAATGCCACTTTTTAGCAATACTCCAGCAATATCACAGAAATGGGTTTCACACATTGTACCCCAACTTCACAAGGCAAGGGAGTTAACTGACTATGAAAGTCCAGTTTCAACCCTTGCCAAAGTAGGCAGGAATTATGGAGTTATATTTTGGCTGGACTAACAAGTCTATGCATGGTCCAATCAAAATCACGTTACAAAATTGACATCCAGTACAGAACTCGGTTGATAGCAGGATTTGAAAAGCAGGTGTACCACCAACTTGCCATCAACAGATATTTCCCAAATCTTTTCATACTTTTAATAAAGGTGCACTACGCAAAGAAAGACCTGTTTTATCACAATAGAGATTTTGATTATTGATCAGATTGTCTTGACTGGGAGCCACCATTTTGTTTGAAGCAAATGAAGTGTTATGAGAGGTGGAATCTGATTGGTCAAAATGAGGGACATAGATGGCTACCCCACTGCCCAGCAGAAAAGGAACCTCACTGCTTTCACAAGGAAAGAATAATAGTTACGCTCAACAAGTATATAGACTAATAGTGCCACACCACTGTAGTTCACCTGAATATGAGATGACAGATTATAACAGATGCTGTCAGTATTATTCAAGACCCGTGAAGATCCGGGGTAGAATAGGTCTTCAGCAACCCATGCTTACCGTAAAAGGGAACTATATGCTTGTTGTAAGAGGCGACTAACGGGGTCGGGTGGTCAGCTTCACTAACTTGGTTGTTGCATGTGACTTGCGTGAATCAATGCTTATGATGTCAATCACTGGATTGTCTGGTGCAGACTCGATTATTTACAGACCGCTGTCATATAGCTGGAATATTGCTGAGTGTGGTGTTAAACAACAAACAAACAAAGTATTATTCAAATGTATTTTGCATAAATACTGTCCACAAAAGTATCAACAAATATTTAACAAGTAACTTAATTTCCACAATGTTTCTAAATTTGCAAGAATGAATGCACTGTTGTACATCGTTGTTGTAGCGACCTACCATTGAATATTCAGAGGCTGGCATTTTGTATCAAGATTAGCTATTACTTTAGCTACAGCTACAAAACCAGATAATTTTTTATTAAAAGCTGTGAGTGCTTATTTTTCATTTTAGAAAAACACTTTGCAACAATATTATTTCTGTGGCAGGCAAATCATTAACAAATGAGTTTGGGGTGTCCTAGTGATCAAAGCGTTTGTTGTCATGCTGAATGGCTCAGTTTGATTCCCATGTGTGCAATGTGTGAATCACAGGTTTGGTGCTCCCTCTATGATTGCTGGACTATTACAGAGGGCAGTGTAAAACCTTATTCACTTATTCATTAACAAATACTTTTTGTTTCTAGGTAAATGTCAAGTAAAGCCATGTAATGGCCTTGGTTAGAATAAGAGCATCACCTTTCCCCACTGGAGTGGTCTGAGTTACAGGTGGAGATATGGTAGATTCTGGTGACGCTGCAACAGAAGATACACCGTATCAGAAACATGTACAACATGACAACCAGACTTGTGTGGGATTGAACATTTAATCAAGACTTCGGAAATGTTAGCAGGAATTGTGTCCCTTGCTGTCATAAGGACACTCAAAATTAAAGACAATATTTATTTAAAATGATTAAATATCAATTCGGTATCAGGTATCGATGATTTAGGGAGACTTAAAGTATCTGGAACTGCTTCTGGTTCTGATATTCAACATCAATTCTGCAGCAAATATCAATCAAAAATCACAAATTAGAGTCAAACATTTCCAAACACTCAAAATTAAAGACAATATTTATTTAAAATGATTAAATATCAATTCAGTATCCAGTATCAGCAATTTGAACTAACTGAAAGAAAACTAATTTGATAAGACATAACCTATTTATCTTATATCATGTTTTAAAATAAATGTCACCAGTAGCATTGTATAACAAATATAAGGAATGTAATAGTCACTACATTTCTTAGTACACTGGTATATTAACAACATCCAACAATACATGCAACCCATTGATGAGAACTGCTTACTGGTTGTGGGAAACATTAACCTGGGCAACAGAGGGTCGGTCACATGAAAATATCCTACAATTTGGGTGAAGGATTTAGAGCGAAGAAAATCTTGATTAGACAGATTTTACTTGACGATTAATTAGCGTAGTAAATTTTAGACTGTAATTTTGGTCTGGTGTTGACAGAGATCAGAGAGTCCAGCGTAAGAGACTCCACTATATGTCTGTAATATGCACTGAGGTACATAACTAAGGAATGACTCGGCTCGGTCAGATCAGTCTAAGCAAGATTGATCCAATTCATCCACAAATTATTATTTTATCTATTAACTCAAATCTATTTAATTCTAGCAGTAAAGAATAACCATTTTCATTCAAACAGGCTTCCACAATGGATATCGCTTGGGCGAAATCAAGTGACATCTCACAGGAGATGCTGCTGCAATGAACTGCTTTGCCCACCATTGTGACCAAAGCCAGAAAATACCCGGTACCTACCGAAAGAGATTAATTTGGTATAAAAGGCAAAATGGAAATGAAAATGACATGAATGGATCACTGAAAATCAGTGATGACACCCAGTTTTTGCTAAAATGTTGAACTTGTCCTGCCCTACCTGAAGCATGTGAAACTCTCACCTAAAATTTGTAACTATCCAGCCCTAAACCATCAATGGAGTTGGCCTACCTGATTTCTCACAGATATAGTTGTTGAGTGCTGAGCACTTCTTGTCATTCCACTGGTAGCTCCAGTTAGGGACCATCTGAGAGCAGTCCTCCTCTCCCATTGAGTTGGGCTCACCTGCAGATTATTCAAGATACCACTAATCAACAACAGCAAAAAACAAAATAGAAATTGATGAAGCAATGTGAACACAATGTGAAAAACAATTCACAAATTCACACAATTCATGAACGTTTCTCACAGCAACAGGCCCTCAGTTGTGACCCCAGTGGTGCAACTTGAATCAAATCATAAAATTTCCCTCTTCAGTTGTACAGGTCATACTTCTTTCATGGCCGGGGGCACGGGTGGCCCAGCCTTCTAAGGCGCAGCGATTTGCTGTGCAGAGTTGCGTCCCTTGGGCGCGCCAGAAACCTATGATTGTGGGTTCAAATCCCGGTTCGCCCCGATTATGTTTCTAGGTTTGTCAGCACCATACCCGTGCTTGGGAGTTTCACCGAAGTGGTAAATGTCTGAGACTCGCATCACTTTGGGCTTTCCTCCCACATTAAGCTGACACGCCGTGATATAACTGGAATCCTGTTAAAAGCGGCGTTAAACCCAACTCAGTCACACTCACTCATTCATGGCCTACATTTCTTTGTTGTTTAACACCGCACTCAACAATATTCCAGCTACATCAGGTGGTCTGTAAATAATTGCATCTGGACCAGGCTAGCCACTGATTGACATCATGAGCAATTGGGATACAATGACATGCAACAACCAAGTCAGCAACCCTGATCACCTGGTGATTTAGGGAGACTTATAGCATCTCGAACTGCTTCTGGGGCTGATATTCAACCTCAAGTCTGCACCAAATATCAATAAAAGTTCCCAAATTAGAGTCAAACATTTCCCAATTCATGCTGTTATGTTACTAATGTGATGGTTTCAGGGTTGTGACTTGTATTTCACTGATAACAGGACCAGTATCAAGGAAGAGGATTTAATACTTAGTTTAACATTATTGCATTGAATGCAATGCTAAAATTCAATGTTAAATACTTCTGAATTTAGGAAAACAAGAGCTATTTACATGATCCGAATTTTGAACAAAATAACGGTTTTCCCAATCTGCCTTTCATGGAGACTCAGTTTGGAATCCAAGATTAACCCTGGGTTTCTGTCTTCAAGTGTGAGGAAGAAGAATGACATCCGTGATGCATACCTGGGTACCAGTTGACATATCTGAACGGCGCCTGGTTGCTCCACTCCCACCCCCCCTCTCTGTTCTTGTCATTGGCTCCGATCCAGAACCACTCTTGGACAGCGGCATACTCACCAGAGGACAAGACGGCTGCAAAAACAAACATGACGTAACCATGGTAACTGTAGGATTGGATGACCCTGTCAGGTAAGGGGAACTTAAAATATTCAGTGAGTGAGGGAAATAATTGTTGTTTTATGTCACAGCAGTACAACCTATAATCAATCTCATTAAAATCAGATCTTAGTTCTCGCTACCGCTAAACAAAGATCTGAGGACATCCAATTACGGGTCACGTCAGACCAACCTTGCACGAACTTTGACCGACCAATGGAATGACCAATCAGAAGGCAGCTTTCTCGTGCTTTACGGCACTAATTTCAAATTGGCGACTACGTTTCCAAACATATTTTGACAAATTCTCGATTACAAATTTGAAACCCGAACAAAACAACATTCTGGAATGGCTAATAGATAGGCTAGATTGTATGGATTCAGTCGTTAAACCCGTAACTATCGTTTGTAATACAGTTTTCGTGGTTGCATGATAAGATATCACATACCGACTGTCACTATCATAATCTGGTAAGCGACGCTCTGATTGGTCAGATGAAAGGTCGTTCTGACGTGACGCCTAATGGGATGTCTTCAGGTCTTTGTTTAGCAGTAGCGAGAACTAAGGTCTGATTTTAATGAGATTGACCTAAAATCGTTGTAATCGTCAGCCAGACTACAAACTTAGTTGTCACTTGCATTGTTAGAGCAGAAGATGGGTGCAAGTATACAATTCACATAAGACCAACCTGAACATATTTATCAATAACCTAAATATACTCTTCATAAAAAGAAACACAATACGGATATTTTTGGCCATAAAAGCAAAATCAGTGGACCAAGAGGTGCAAAATGAAGAAGTTTAATGTGTTCTAGTGTAAGTAATAAATTTCCTGGATCAAAATGATCACAACAAGGACATGTAGTCGGGAAACATGTATGATTCGGAAAAACGCACCCTGGGCATTAACAAAAGGGCCTTCGAGCTGCGCGTGCTGAACGGTATTAAAACGCAGGGTTTTTGATTGCCTGGCATCTGCATCAATCGAACAGTGACAGTTCAACAATATGTCAAGATTAACAAAAGTGCAAAGAAACAGCGTCATAGGCCGCTTTCAGGCTGGGGAATCCCGATCAGCTGTAGCCAGGGTTTTAAATGTAGCGCCCAGCACCATCACAAGGCTATGGGATCAGTTTCAACAGCATGGGACAAGACGTGATTGGCCATGGTCGGGACGACCAAGAGTAACCACCCCTGCCCAAGATTGCTACGTCAGACTGCGCCACCTACGTGAAAGAATGACCAGTCACCTCAAGCACATCCCAAATACCCGGACTGTGCAGAATCTCTGACCAGACCATATGAAACCGTTGAAGAGCAGCAGGTCTACTAGCAAGATGTCCTGTTCGACATGTCATATTGAGTCGACATCAACGACTGTATTGTTGTCGTCAACACGTTGGAGAGATGTCTGGTTCAGCGTTGAATCAAGATTTCTCCTCCGTCAAGGGGATGGAAGAGCACGGGTCCACCGATCTCTGAGAGAACGTAATGCCGGAAACTGCATACAGGAAGTGGACAGGTTTGGTGGGGGTAGCATTATGATGTGGGCGGCTATCTCTCATCATGGTAGGACAGGTTTGGTCCATATCCAGGGCAATCTTATGGCTCAACGATACATCAACAAAATTTTCCTACCACACGTCCTCCCAATTGCAGCCAACGGCAATGGTGTATTCCAGCAGGACAACGCTCGACCGCCTACAGCATGGATCACAAGAGCCTGAACGTTGATGTTCTCCCCTGCCCCTCCAGATACCCGGATTTGAACCAAAAAGAGCCCCTGTGGGATTAATTGGATGGAAGGCTACGCAGACGTCAACACCATCCCCAGACGTTGCAGCGCGCAGTTGGCTTTTGTGTTGCAGGCCGAGTGGGCTACTATTCCCCAGGATGTGATTTGCATACTCATCTCTTCCATGAGCAGGAGATGTCAGGCTGCTATTGATTCCAACGAGGGACATACGCATTATTGATGGTAGCTGACCTTCACCTTGGACTTTTCCTATGTACCGATAACTGAGATGACTACAATCACCAAGTGTTCTCTCCATAACAGTTTGGCTCCAGTTCTTGTACGGCCAACTTCCTCGTACAAATGTATTTTCCTGCCTCACACAAATCTGGCTTTGCGTTTCTTTTTCTTGAAGAGTTTATTATGTGTCAATGGTGATGGGCCTATTATTGGCCTATTATGAACAAAGATAGCCCTCATACAGAATAAAAAGAAGAATGACCATTGTCAAGTGATGTTTAATAAATAGATTGGGTAGTTTATTTTCAAACAAAGGAGTTGTGAAATAAGCCTGGTTAATGGGGACTGCTGAACCCTTGACTATCCACAAGAGACAAGCTCGGGTTACTTTTTACCTATTATTCTTCGGAGACAAGCATTTAGAGCTGTTCCCCTAGAATCGTCATAGAGAACATGCATTGAGGTCGGAGGACCTGTTCTACCCTGGAATCTCCATAGGAAACCTGCATTGAGGTCTGAGGACCTGTTCTACCCTGGTGTCCTCCTAGAAAACCCACACTAAGAACTGAGGACCTGCTTTCCCTGGACTCCTATAGAAAACTTGCCTTGAGGTCTGAGGACCTGTTCTACCCTGGTGTCCTCCTAGAAAACCCGCACTAAGAACTGAGGACCTGTTCTACCCTGGACTCCCATAGAAAACTTGCCTTAAGGTCTGAGGACCTGTTCTACCCTGGTGTCCTCATAGATAACATGCACTTAGGTCTGAGGACCTGCTTTCTCTTGACTCCCATAGAAAACTTACCTTGAGGTCTGAGGACCTGTTCTACCCGGGACTCCCATATATAACATGCATTGAGGTCTGAGGAGCTGTTCTACCCCGGAATCTCTATAGGAAACTTGCATTGAGGTCAGAGGACCAGTTCTACCCTCGTGTCCTCATAGATAACATGCACTCAGGTCTGAGGACCTGCTTTCTCTGGAATCCCCATGACTTACATCTGAAGCAGGGTTTACCTTGCAGAAAAGTTTGTTCATTTGGCCCATCTATGCTGACCAGGTCGGACCCCCGTCTGAGGCAGTCGGCCCTGGCGTCCACCCAGTTCTTGGTGGCCCCGACTATCACCTGGTAGCAGGAGCTGTCCATGCCACTGATGATCCAGTTGGGTCCACATCGGTAGGACCAGGGCACTGAAACATAACTGTCTCTGCTGAAATATAACACTGCCTTCAGCATTATTTCAGCTGTACCACATCGACCTGTACACATTCTAGTCCAGACCAGCTTCAGGGTTCCAGATAAGCTGCATATTCAACATACAAACAACATGATATTACCCAATTAATTTTGATTTGCTTGCGTACAAATACACATAAACAATTTCAAAAATCTTATACTATAACAGTTTTCTTTTCTTCTATCTGCATTTCTTTACAAATCTTTATTTACTGATAGAAAGTATGCATCACACACATACATGACCTCAACTAGAGTGAAAAAGGCAAAAGGCACAATTTCTCGCTTATTATAAATTAATAAAAAGCATATTGCTATTGTGAGTTATGCAACTACTGTGACATGTTACTTTGAAGCAGGACATTTGGGTTATACTGCTCTCAGAAATCCACGTGCAGCCTGTCTTGTTCTTGGCGGGGTATAAGGGATTTATTTTCCCACTGAGAAACTTAATTCACTCCAAAGCCGGATATATAGTATCAAGACCACGTGGACCAGTCAGATCTCATCATTCTGACATGGAGGTATGATAATGCTCCATACACAGCACCATGCTTTAAATCCGGACAATTTCATTTGGGCCGACTCTGTTAATACCTTGACAAATATGGTGGTTTTGGAGGAGGGATTGTTGTGATAAAGATCAATCTTTAAAGTACAATATTTGCTCAAAGTGGGCCACAGTTATCTCCCTTACCTGTGTTTGCTGCGGCTGGACTTGCTGTGGCACCCACTGAAAGAAAACAATCATGAACATCAAATCATGAATGTCAATCATGAACATCAACCTTTCAAAATGGACTAAGTTAAGGTAGCAGTTCCTCCTGTGAATCATCTAGAATACATTCCATTTTCTGTATTCTACTAAAGTGAATATTCTATTCTTCATGTCTACTTAGTGAAGATTCCATCTTCTTCTTAGGTGAATATTCTATTTTTAACTTCTACGTAGTGAATATTCTATTGTTTATTCTTATGTGTTTCACTTCTAAATGCCTTTCAAAGAATTAAATATTCTATGTCTTGTTTCTAAGTGAAAATGCTGCTCTTTGTTTCTATTTAAGTGAACATTCCATGCTTTGTTTCTACTTAAGTGAACATTCCATGCTTTGTTTCTACTTAAGTGAATATTCCATTCTTTGTATCTAAGTGAAAATTCTGTTCAATCCTATTAGCATTGGAATTATTCCCCACTCAATCAACTTCACCCAGACTTATAATTACCGTATTCGACGTAATAAGCGCCCAGGGCGCTCTCAAAATTAGAAATAGTGGGCTCTTAATAAAATGTTATTTTGGTGAAAAAAAATTGAAAGATAAATTTCGTGGTTTATGCTGACAGCCTGAAATGTTTATATACGACAGGTATTTTTTTCCAGAATTTAATTGCGTATTATACGCGAATAAATAAGTCTTTTGTACATTGATCAATCGGAAGGGGTGCTAATTGGAATTGTTCACCAGCAAATATATTAGTAAATATCGCCGTGCATGGGCGCTTATTAGAGCAGGGCGTTTATTACGTCGAAAACGGTAACCTCATTCTTAACAATTAGAAATGCAGCATACTCAGTGACTGAAACCTACAACCTACAACCTACAGAACCTTGGCATGGGTTAGGAACGTAACACAGCACAACCATCAAGACCTCCACTCATTAGATACACAGCATGGCATGGTTCCAGCCAATGAGCTGAATGGTAAATCCAATCATATCTGACTACATATAGACCAACCATTCGTGACCAACTCGTGTTATTCCGGGACAAGCCGAATTGCGACTCGTGCCCCTCTCATGGCCATTTTTGCGACCGGGTTCCGTCTTAGCGAAAACGGGCATACCTAAAACAATTGTCAACTCGTCCACATGGTTCACATATATTTCCTCATATATTATATATATTTCAGATGCAATTTAAAGCACATCGGGACATGCAGCATTATACAGTATGATTGAACACATTTAACTGTGTCTTGGGTATATTTTAGATGCAAGACATGTAGAATCAAAAATTATTTCTGAGGGATTCTTTGACGAAGAACTTGAAATCAAATGCGCATTCTGATTGGTTTGTCGTATTTCCTCACATAACATACATCGATAGGGGGACGAGTCTTCTTGCAGGTTACGGAAAGGGCGAATGGTGACGAATGATAGACCAACCTAATTGAGATGATTCAAGCAAAAAATACATGGAAGGTTCTGAATTATGGGATGGATGACCTTACTAATAGGACAAGGTTGGCAACATGTGAAAATAAACATATTTCAGTCACATGGTACTTAAGCACTGGAAGCCTTCCAGTAGTGCTCAATGAGGACCTCTAACAAAGTGACTCACTTGCAGGACTCCGGCAGATGAAGTTGTGTTGTTGTTTGCACCAGTTGTCTCGCCAGCTGCCGGGGAAGGAGGCCCGGATGTACTGGGCGTCGACACACTCCTGGCCCACCTGGTCGTGAGAGTTGGGCTCTCCCGGGGCGAAGTTGTTGAATGTCAGCTGGAAGCAAACCACAGCTATTAGGGAAAACACATCTGTTGGTTGGTGTTGTTTTCTTGCTATAAAGATTGACTGGATGAATATTTCCAAAAATCAAACATATAAGGCATAAAAATTAAAGTACTGGTTCTCAGGCAATGATTTTTGAAAATATATAGCAGGCGGGTGGACAGTGTCTTTTTTTGTTGGGTTGTTCAAACTAGTATGTAACCAATAAACAATTGTGTACAATCAACCTGGGAAAGGGCCACCCTACATAAACAACTGTGGAAAGGGCCTTCCTACTTAAATGTATTCCTTGATGAGTAAAATACTGGAATACAAGTTGGACTTGTAATATTTAAGGATTTTTTATACATTTTAAAAAAGAATTGAAATTAAAACAAAACATGCGGCGAACTTTATGACGATGTGGGCGGTGCCTGAGAACCAAGACTTTTTTTTTAGCCTAACAAATATATTCTCAACAAAAGTAGGGCATCATGAAAAATAAATATTATGACTGGTCGTCCAAATACAAGATCAGCTTCAAAACATGATGGTGGAGATAGACGGTTTGGAACCAAACATTGCCTGTGGATTATACAATTCCTCCACATGGGTAGGCAGTAATGTTTTATTGTAACACTTCAGTGAAAGGTTGTGAAATTGTTCTGCGCCTTTAGTATTGTTGATTTTTATTATACAAAGTAACACAAATACTCTCTACTCTTGTTTCAATGCAGTGTTTGTGATCAGATTGGGAATGTGTCGTGTACAACGTGATGAGTGCCTAAGGGCTATTGTCATGTTTTAAACTGGCAGAATTCAATGAGAGGTAGCCAATAAATTCAATGTGTCTCAGCCTGTGATCATCTTCCCGAGGCAAGGGAGTTAACTGACTATAAAAGTCCAGTTTCCACCCTTGCTGAACTAGGCTGGTATTATGGAGTTACGTTTTGGCTGGACTAACAAGTCTTTGCATAGTCCAATCAAAATCGCGTAACGAAATCGAAATCCGGTTTGTAAACTTTCGTGCAGATTTCGGTCGATTGCAAGATTTGCAAAGCATGTGAACCGCCAACTCGTTGCAAACAGATATTTTCCAAATCTATTTTTCATGTTTTTAATCAAGGTGCTCACGTGATTTGATGCACTTCAAGATGTAAGACCCCTTTTATCACAGCATAGATCTTGATTATCGATCAGATCATCCTGACTCGGCGCCACCATTTTGTTTGAAACAAATGCAAGTGATACGAGAGGTGGAATCTGATTGGTCAATAGGAGAGGCTTAGAAGGGACATAACTCGTAATAACCACTGGTGGCGCTGCGATCGAGCCCAGGAATTCCAGCCTAGTTCGGCAAGGGTGGAAGCTGGACTTTTAAAGTCAGTTAACTCTCTTGCCCCGGGAAGATGCCTGTGATTTGCAGACTTTGGAACAGGTTTCTGCAGACACAAACTGTTAATAACTTGCTCTGTATAGACGCATGTCATGCATAGTATACATCACCCTGAACTGTTCAGCATGAGCATATTTTTAATCAAACATCATTAAATATATTTTCTTTACTTTATCTAAATTTATTGCAAGCTTATCTGTTTGCATTTTTTTAATTCCAAGAAATTGTCAAATTAATGTCCAATCCCCTCTGACAACCTTTTTCACATCATGTTTGCCAAATGGACCAAGTAACTCTGTAAACATCCTCTCTATTTCCAGGCTCGCCATGGTAAAAGCAGCTTACCGGTGTATTGTCCACCCAGGCTTGCCATGGTAAAACCAGCTTACCGGTGTATTGTCCACCCAGCCTCGCCATGGTAAAACCAGCTTACCGGTGTATTGTCCACCCAGGCTCGCCATGGTAAAACCAGCTTACCGGTGTATTGTCCACCCAGCCTCGCCATGGTAAAACCAGCTTACTGCTGTATTGTCCACTCAGGCTCGCCATGGTAAAACCAGCTTACCGCTGTATTGTCCACCCAGCCTCACCATGGTAAAACCAGCTTACTGCTGTATTGTCCACCCAGGCTCGCCGTGGTAAAACCAGCTTACCGGTGTATTGTCCACCCAGCCTCGCCATGGAAAACCAGCTTACCGGTGTATTGTCCACCCAGCCTCGCCGTGGTAAAACCAGCTTACCGGTGTATTGTCCACCCAGATGAAGTCATGGTTGGTAGTCTGTCGATCCCGTTTTAGTCCTATCCATGCATTACCCTGTTGTAGCATTTTTTCTGGAATATCCATATGCACATAATGAGTGTCAACAACAAGAGATTGGTTTGATATGGGCCCTTAAGGGTCTACGGCAAAGGCATGATCATAGAAGGAGGAAATCTTGTACAGATCATCAAGAAAGTTATCAGATTCACGACGATCTTCGATTTGGGTTTGTTTTGGTTTGATTTGTTGTTTAACGCCGCACTCAGCAATATTCCAGCTATATGATGGCCGTCTGTAAATAATCTAGTCTGGACCAGACAATCCAGTGATTGACATCATGAGCACCGATCCACGCAGTTGTGATACGATGACAAGCATCAACCATGTCAGCGAGCCTGACCACCCAATCCCGTTAGTCTCCTCTTACGACAAGCATAGTGGCCTTTTACGGCAAGCATGGGTTGCTGAAGACCTATTCTACCCCGGATCTTCAAGGGTTTGACGATCTTTCATTTGTAAACCCCTGAGATTCTGTGTATTTGTCCTGCCTATGAGGAAAGACTGCTCTAAGGGGTCCCGAGATCCTCTATACTTGTCCTACCTATGAGAAAAGACTGCTCTAAGGGGTCCCGAGATCCTCTGTATTTGTCCTCCCTATGAGAAAAGACTGCTCTAAGAGGTCCTGAGATCCTCTGTATTTGTCCTCCCTATGAGAAAAGACTGCTCTAAGAGGTCCTGAGATCCTCTGTATTTGTCCTACCTATGAGAAAAGACTGCTCTAAGAGGTCCTGAGATCCTCTGTATTTGTCCTACCTATGAGAAAAGACTGCTCTAAGAGGTCCTGAGATCCTCTGTATTTGTCCTACCTATGAGAAAAGACTGCTCTATGGGGTCCCGAATTGTGGTGAGGGAACCACCATTGACTTGACAGAAATTCTGCGCCATGGTCCAGTTGAGGTGGGGCCCGAGGAAGTAGCAGTCCTGACGGAACAACACCCACTTATACGGGCAGGTCACGTTGTTGGCTGGAACACAGGGGAACAACATGTATGTCTGCTCACTTAGACCTTCCTGTCAAGTGTTTCAAACAGCTCTCTTCGACCAGGGCCCCTTTAACAAGGTGATCCTGGTGCTAAGATGATCGTAACTCTTATACTTTAAGTTCGGGTTACGAGGTTGATAAACCGGTTCCATAAATCCATTGTTTTGCTACATCAACAATGATAAAGGGGTGTGAAATTAATATTAGGCTTAAAAAATAAAGAAATTGTTCTCAGGCAATGGTTTTTGAACATTTTTGGGGGGTTCTTCAAACTAGTATGTAACCGAATAAACAGTTGTGTAACCAATTTCAGTTTTGTACAATCAACCTGGGAAGGGGCCTCCCTACATAGATGTATTCCATGATGAATAAATACTGCAATGCAGTATTTGATTTGGAGTTGGACTTGGATTATATCAGGATATTGTTTGGTTTTTTTAAAAATGGAAATAAAATTGAAACATGTTGCGGACCTTATGATGATGCGGGGTTGGGGGGGTCTGAGAACCAAGACTTGGGAAATCATAAATGATGATTAATCAGTCATTTGCTGTTTTTCAATGTTCAGTTCATCAGAACTAGTTCACATCCAACAAAATTAGCACAAATACTTCAGCATTTAATAATGTTTCCGTAAAAACACAAGCCTCAACATTTTCTCTAAGTACTATATACTAAACACTACTTCTAAGGCATCAAAACTATCTCAGGGTTGAGATGGGCGATAAAATTGTTTGTTTTCAGTTATGAAAAATTGTGTTAGATCAGTAGGTCATTTGGACCTTCTGATCAATCTTATTGTGATTAATGAGAACTAAGACAAAATTGTTATGGATGAGCAACTTCTTTATTACAATTTGGCGACGTTTCGGTGTAGATTCTAACACCATTATCAAGCAAATGATGTACAAACTAGGTATGAGCATGATATATATACATAACAAACCAGAAAGACTTCAAGCTCAGAAAATTTAGAGAAGCCATTTACATCAAAAGAATTCAGCCAGCCATAAACAGAGATCACCGAATCTACACTGAAATGTCGCCCAATTGTAATAAAGAAGTTGCTCAACCATAACATTTTTGTCTTAGTTACCATTCCAACTTCTAAATGCCACTCAAAGAAAATTAATGAGAACACCACTAATTACCAGGCATGTGCTGCACATGGAATCATTCCTACCGCCTCCGTGGTCTAGTGGTAGAGCGTCCGCCCGGAGAGCGGAAGTTCGAGGTTCGATCCCCGGCCGCGTCATACCAAAAGACGTTAAAAGATGGTACTTGTTGTTACCCTGTCTGGCGCTCAGCATTAAGGGGCTAAAACAAGGACTGGTCGGCTCGGAGTCAGTATACTGTGTCTGAGTGGGATATTCATGTTAAACTGCGGCATGGTATCTCAGTGAGCTAGCACTATAAATCGGCATCAGTCCAGACTAGTACAAGCAGCCACACACACACACACACACACACGTACATGCATGTCGCTATATAAGTGCAATAATCTTGGACGCGACGTTAAACCCCATTTCACTTCACCTCACCTCACCTAATAACTTCCTATGACCTTTCTATGGATCGTGATCTACATACCTATTTCTGTATGGTTGACATACTTCTGTGAGATGGGCATTTCACACAGGTAGGACTTGCTGGCATAACAGTAGCCATTGGACCATGTTGCCTGTCCATCTGAAAGTATATCTCACGATCATGGCAATATCAATGCCTTTAAAAAACAAATACAGTTAAAACAAATGTTCCCTGGTGGTGGCATGTGGTGCTTACAACGCACAGTTTCACTGAAACAGATGCTTAAACCTGTGGTGTCTTCTACATAGGCAAGTGACTTTGGGAGAAATTTAATCACCAAGCAGTGATGGGTACCCGGGAGGATAAGATAGCTATGAAAATATGTTGTATACTCCCCAGGGAGATGAGAATGCAAACAGACTGGTCCATTGACAAGGACTACATTCCAGAAAGCAATCTTAGCACTAAGTGAGTGAGTGACTATGGTTTTACGCCGCTTTTAGCAATATTCCAGCAATATCACGGCGGGGGACACCAGGAATGGGCTTCACACAATGTACCCATGTTGGGAATCGAACCCGGGTCTTCGGCGTGACGAGCGAACGCTTTAACCACTAGGCTACCCGACCGCCCCCTTAGCACTAAGATGATTGCAACATAAACTTTGCCAGTCGTAAATCCCTGTATAGATATTGTATATATATAAAGATTCTGTAAATCAACTAACATAATATTATAGGCCTATGAACGACTTGTGGAACAGGACACAGGATGATAATAGTTAGCGTGGGATACATAATAATATGAATATGCATTATCATAATACTTATCAACACTAAGACTAATAATATGCTTACGATTTGCGACAAATCCGCAGTCAGTTCGTCCCGGGATTGGTTTGGGGAAGGATTTGTACCAGTGGGTGTAGGTGGTGGAGATATTGAGGGAGAGGCCGTCCTCCCACGTGTAGTTTCCGTCCTGGAGTCGATCTGGAGACACAAGACAAGTATTGCCTTGTAAGAAACTCAAAAACAAGTCAAAAATAGACATAACAAACTCAAAGAGAACCTCAAAGGTCAAACTATCATTGCTAAATTTGATGCATAGTACAATTTGTTTCATCCAACGACAGTGGGCTCTGCCTAAACCGCCATCATGTTGTACCAGAAACAAATGTCAGTTTAGGCAGGGAAGGCCAATCGTCAATGAGAGACTGCCACTATTTATCCACACTTAGATATGTACCGATACCAGCAGAAATATCTGAAAACAGTTCTTTAAAATAATTGTATTTTGTTTTCTTCAAAAGAACCAATTTTTTGTCAGTCTCAACTTTAAACAACATTAAACAACTTTAAACATATGAAAATTACCTAATTTTTTTTTTTTAACATCATGTTCAATGCAGTAGACATCCATGGTTGACAAATCCAATGACATCATCTCTGAAGTAACTTAGTTAGATCTACATGTCATTCACTCAAAGTACAGTTACAATTTCCTTTTTTATTTTAATATTTCACTTTGGTTCAAGACTAAGTCGCTATAGATATTTAACCTCAAAGCAAAGCGCTATGTTATTCCTTGCACTAAAAAGATATGTAAACCCTGATGATAACGGACAAGCTGACTTTGTTCGAAAAAAATACTTTATTGATTATTGTTGATGTATTGTTCAACAACAAACATTTACTTTTACTTTTACAAACAAGGTACTTTATTTGCCGGTCCACAGGGATTGAGTCACATGAATAATCTGTCCTTGCCTAATTGTACCGGTAACAAACTGGTAATGACCAGTAAACGGGAACACTGGGACTACACCTTTAACTTTAGATGACTATGTTGGTCCTTAGCAAATGTTGAATAGTATATTTATCTCTCACTGAGGTATGCAAAATAGCACCCTTGTATCCATAGCAGTTCCCCCCACAATGTGTTCCCACTGAAGTAGGACGGCGGGAAGGACGGACGGATGGAACCCAAGTCTCCCCCACTCCACTTCCTGGCTGAGGATAATACTGAGTGAGTGAGTTAGTTGGGTTTAACACAGCTTTAGTTACATCACTTTAATGTGGGAGTCCTAAGGTGGTAGACTTTTACTTTGATAAAATGGACAAGTATAGTAATAGTGCTGACAAATCAAGGATGATAATCGGGGCAAAGCTGGAAATCAAACCCATCACAAGCAGCTGATCCTGCCATGTCTAGGGGACGTAACTCTTCATAATGTATTGTGGCACTGTGCCATCCATGCCTCAAAGAAATTTAATTTATTTTAACACCAACCACCAAGACTTTCACAAATAATTCTGTAAGCCAAGACTGTAGCTCGGGATAAGTACATTTGGAATAATGACAGTTACCTGAGAATCCCAGCCAGGCATCATGTATGTGAAGAGCACTGAGAGCTTTCGTCATCAACAGATTTGTTTGTTGGCTGTGGAAAATAGGGTCAATTATACAGTTGTTTTTTTTTGTCGTTTAACACAGCACTTAGAATATTCCAGCTATATGACAGCGGCCACATCATGAGCAAGGCCTATGTGAAACTTAATGAAGTGCAATATGAATCATAATAACCAATTACCCCAAATACAGGCAATATCTCTGTTTCAGAAAACATTTATGTCTGTATCTGTAGGATTAAGCACATCTGAGTGTTTTAAATATCATAAAAACCCAAGGGGAAGTGTTTTATGTAACTTATTCTCGAAAAAAGAAACTTAAAACAACACATCAGCATTTTTGTTTCAACATACTTTCCATGAACCTTAGGAAACAGGCATAAAATATTTGTTGCTGGCCTAAGGTACTTGAAAAACACATTCTTAAAAGCATTGTGATTAATCAGTGCCTCTGTAGCCTAGAGGTACTCACTACATGAAGGTTGTGTGATCAATCCTCAAGAATATCAAGAAAACATTCATCATTTGATTTTACATTTCATGACATTGTGTTCAAATGCAAAATAAATTCATTTCAACTTACTCCTTGATGGTGAGCAGCTGGACTCCCTGCTTCTTGCAGTTGTCATTGGCCATGTACCAGGTGGTCGAGCTCTGTCTGGTGTTGTGCACCTGGTAACACTTGCCCCCATACGTCACCCACCCCGTCGGACACGTCCCTGAAGCACAGCAAACACTGATATGTTCATGTCAAATACTAACAGAGTTGACTGACTGATTGTTGTTTAACACCACAATCAGCAACATTCCAGCTTTATTCCTGTTCTGTAAATATGAGTCTTGTACCAGACAATCCTGTTATTCACATCATAAACATTGACCCACACAATTCAGACGTAATAAAATGAAATTAACCAATTAACAAACTGACCACCAAATCCATTTAGTCACCTCTTATGACAAGTATAGGTTGCTGAGGACCTCTATTCCTATCAAGAATCCCCACGAGTGAAGACTTGGATCAGAACAAGGTTAAGATGTTGTGGTGTTTACAATGATCACCTTCACAAGCTTAAGCTTGTGTTCAATTTAGACAGACAGACAGATTTATTTGTATAAAGGCCAATTGACCCATTGTGCAAAACACATATATTTTAATCTAAGAGTTACCTAGTTGATACTTTCTTTTGTTAAGAACACAAACATCAGAAATGATGATTAACTGTCTTTGGGATAAATTTTTCCCGCCGACTTGCATAAAGAGGACAACTGTATAACATCACGTTCATCCTCAATTACAAGACAGTGTTCATACATAAGACGGCATCCTCCTCAATTACAAGACAGTGTTCATACATAAGACGACATCCTCCTCAATTACAAGACAGTGTTCATACATAAGACGGCATCCTCCTCAATTACAAGACAGTGTTCATACATAAGACGACATCCTCCTCAATTACAAGACAGTGTTCATACATGAGACAGCATCATCCTCAATTACAAGACAGTGTTCATACATAAGACGGCATCATCCTCAATTACAAGACAGTGTTCATACATAAGATGGCATCCTCCTCAATTACAAGACAGTGTTCATACATAAGACGGCATCCTCCTCAATTACAAGACAGTGTTCATACATAAGACGGCATCCTCCTCAATTACAAGACAGTGTTCATACATAAGACGGCATCCTCCTCAATTACAAGACAGTGTTCATACATAAGACGACATCCTCCTCAATTACAAGACAGTGTTCATACATGAGACAGCATCATCCTCAATTACAAGACAGTGTTCATACATAAGACGGCATCATCCTCAATTACAAGACAGTGTTCATACATAAGATGGCATCCTCCTCAATTACAAGACAGTGTTCATACATAAGACGGCATCATCCTCAATTACAAGACAGTGTTCATACATAAGACGGCATCCTCCTCAATTACAAGACAGTGTTCATACATAAGACGGCATCCTCCTCAATTACAAGACAGTGTTCATACATAAGACGACATCCTCCTCAATTACAAGACAGTGTTCATACATAAGACGGCATCCTCCTCAATTACAAGACAGTGTTCATACATAAGACGACATCCTCCTCAATTACAAGACAGTGTTCATACATAAGACGGCATCCTCCTCAATTACAAGACAGTGTTCATACATAAGACGGCATCATCCTCAATATTGGTAACCCAGAAACCCAACCGGGTGGACCAGCATAGGTTTCTGAGGACGTTTTCAATCCTGGAATCCCCACGGGGAAGACAAGCAATAGGTTTCTGAGGACCTATTCAATCCTGGAATCCCCACAGGATGGACCAGCATAGGTTTCTAGTAACCTATTGAATCCCGGAATCCCCTCAGGGTGGACCAGCAAAGGATTCTAGTGACCTATTCAATCACAGATTCCCCACACGGTGGACCAGCATAGGTTGCTGGGGACCTATCCAACACGGAATCCCCTCAGGGTGGACCAGCATAGGATTCTAGTGACCTATTCAATCACGGAATCCCCATGGGATGGACCAGCATAGGTTGCTGGGGATCTATTCAATCCTGGAATCCGCATGGAGTGGACCAGCATAGGATTATAGTGACCTTTTCAATCCCAGAATCCCATGGAGTGGACTAGCATAGGATTATAGTGACCTTTTCAATCCCAGAATCCCATGGAGTGGACTAGCATAGGATTCTAGTGACCTATTCAATCCCGGAATCCCCACAGGGTGGACCAGCATAGGATTCTAGTGACCTATTCCCCATGAGGTAATGTGGGCAATGTTTGGCTGTTTGGCTTCTGGTTTCAGAGAGAACAAGTGTAAGTCTTGAAACAGTGATCCCCCCAAATATTATGTCTCTGTAGAAAATCCCAGGCCCCAGCGTAAAATAAAATGGCTGGTCCCTAATCAGGGCAAGTATCAAATTAGGTTGAATAGTGAAAGAAAAAATATGTGTCATCCAAATTCATAATTGGGACAACAAATATATTTAACTCCTTTGGAAGATGTTTTCAGTTGTGATTTTTGAGTTATATGTTTCATCTACACAGACTGCCTCTGTGGCCTAGTCGATGGAGCATCTGCCCGGAGAAACTGAAGTTCAGGGTTTGATCTCCGGCTGCATCAGACCAAAAGATGTTAAAAGATGGTACTTGTTGTAACAATGTCAGTAAACATACCATATGGCTTGATGCAGATGTCAGTAAACATATCATATAGCTTGATGCAGATATCAGTAAACATACCATATGGCTTGATGCAGATGTCAGTAAACATACCATATGGCTTGATGCAGATGTCAGTTAACATACCATATGGCCTGATTCAGGTGTCAGTAAACATACCATATGGCTTGATGCAGATGTCAGTAAACATACCATATGGCTTGATGCAGACGGTCAGTAAACATACCATATGGCTTGATGCAGAAGTCAGTAAACATACCATATACCTTGATGCAGATGTCAGTAAACATACCATATAGCCTGATTCAGGTGTCAGTAAACATACCATATGGCTTGATGCAGATATCAGTAAACATACCATATGGCTTGATGCAGACGGTCAGTAAACATACCATATGGCTTGATGCAGATGTCAGTAAACATACCATATAGCTTGATGCATATGTCAGTAAACATACCATATAGCTTGATGCAGATGTCAGTAAACATACCATATACCTTGATGCAGATGTCAGTAAACATACCATATGGCTTGATGCAGATGTCAGTAAACATACCATATGGCTTGATGCAGATGTCAGTAAACATACCATATGGCCTGATTCAGGTGTCAGTAAACATATCATATGGCTTGATGCAGATGTCAGTAAACATACCATATGGCTTGATGCAGACGGTCAGTAAACATACCATATGGCTTGATGCAGATGTCAGTAAACATACCATATGGCTTGATGCAGATGTCAGTAAACATACAATATGGCTTGATGCAGACGGTCAGTAAACATATCATATAGCTTGATGCAGATGGATAATAAATATACCATATGGCTTGATTCAGATGTCAGTAAACATACCATATAGTTTTATGCAGATGGTCAGTAAACATACCATATGGCTTGATGCAGATGGTCAGTAAACATACCATATGGCTTGATGCAGATGTCAGTAAACATACCATATGGCTTGATGCAGATGTCAGTAAACATACCATATAGTTTTATGCAGATGGTCAGTAAACATACCATATGGCGTGATGCAGATGTCAGTAAACACACCATATGGCTTGATGCAGATGTCAGTAAACATACCATATGGCTTGATGCTGATGTCAGTAAACATACCATATAGTTTTATGCAGATGTCAGTAAACATACCATATAGTTTTATGCAGATGGTCAGTAAACATACCATATAGTTTTATGCAGATGGTCAGTAAACATACCATATGGCTTGATGCAGATGTCAGTAAACATACCATATAGCTTGATGCAGATGGTCAGTAAACATACCATATGGCTTGATGCAGATGTTAGTAAACATACCATATGGCTTGATGCAGATGTCAGTAAACATACCATATGGCTTGATGCAGATGGTCAGTAAACATACCATATGGCTTGATGCAGATGTCAGTAAACATACCATATGGCTTGATGCAGATGGTCAGTAAATATCATATGGCTTGATGCAGATGTTAGTAAACATACCATATAGATTTATGCAGATGGTCAGTAAACATACCATATGGCTTGATGCAGATGTTAGTAAACATACCATATAGTTTTATGCAGATGGTCAGTAAACATACCATATAGCTTGATGCAGATGGATGATAAATATACCATATGGCTTGATGCAGATGGTCAGTAAACAAACCATATAGTTTTATGCAGGTGGTCAGTAAACATACCATATAGCTTGATGCAGATGGATAATAAATATACCATATAGCTTGATGCACATGTCAGTAAACATACCATATGGCTTGATGCAGATATATTTGTTCTCACTGATGCAGCTCCGCCTGTTGAAGTAGAAGTTGTTTAGGGCCACAGACTCTATACACTCATGTCCAATCTGTCTGAAATAGAGAAAAAAAATAAAATTGAAACCAAATATTAACAGAACGACATGCACCAATCAACAAAACAAGTCGAAACATCCCTCATGACAACCCAAGATGTAAAACATGCCCCACCACTTTGCCTAGCTGTCATGGTGAGTGTTGAAAGTGTCATGATGAATGTTGAAGGTGTCATGGTGAGTGTTGAAGGTGTCATGTTGAGTGTTGAATGTGTCATGGCGAGTGTTGAAGCTTTCATGGTGAGTGTTAAAGGTGCCATGTGGAGTGTTGAAGGTGTCATGTTGAGTGTTGAAGCTGTCATGTTGAGTGTTGAAGGTGTCATGTTGAGTGTTGAAGGGGTCATGTTGAGTGTTGAAGCTGTCATGTTGAGTGTTGAAGGTGTCATGGTGAGTATTGAAGGTGTCATGGTGAGTGTTGAAGGTGTCATGGTGAGTGTTGAAGCTGTCATGTTGAGTGTTGAAGGTGTCATGGTGAGTATTGAAGGTGTCATGGTGAGTGTTGAAGGTGTCATGGTGAGTGTTGAAGCTGTCATGTTGAGTATTGAAGGTGTCATGTTGAGTGTTGAAGGGGTCATGTTGAGTGTTGAAGGGGTCATGTTGAGTGTTGAAGGTGTCATGGTGAGTGTTGAAGGTGTCATGTTGAGTGTTGAAGCTGTCATGTTGAGTGTTGAAGGTGTCATGGTGAGTGTTGAAGGTGTCATGTTGAGTGTTGAAAGTGGCATGTTGAGTGTTGAAGCTGTCATGTTGAGTGTTGAAGGTAAAATGGTGAATGTTGAAGGTGTAATGGTGAGTGTTGAAGGGGTCATGTTGAGTGTTGAAGGTGTAATGGTGAGTGTTGAAGGGGTCATGTTGAGTGTTGAAGGTGTCATGTTGAGTGTTGAAGGTGTCATGTTGATTGTTGAAGGTGTCATGTTGAGTGTTGAAGGTGTCATGTTGATTGTTGAAGGTGTCATGTTGAGTATTGAAGGTGTCATGGTCAGGGTTCAAGGTGGCAATTAATTTATGAGCCAGCTTCTAAAATTTGGTACTATCATGGTCTGACTTGAGGGGGTAGCTTAGCAAGGTAGAGCAAGAGCTGAGTAGGTCATAGTTATTTACATGAACATCACATATATAAGTAGTTAACAAACACAAACAGCAATGATCAGCACACATAGACTTACCAGTGACCAAGCATGTTCCTAGGAAGGCTACAAACAAGTCTGTGTATATTCACCATTGCTTCATACATCTGTTAGCTACTTCTATATGTGATGATCATGTAAATGAATCCGTGTATACTATAATAGATGTCTCTTGTTCTACCTGGCTCATATAGCCCTTTAAGTCAGACCATGAAAGTACAGTGAAAAAAAATAAAATGTCTAAAATGCTGCTGGATTGAAAACTTACAACTGTGTTATTGTATTTGTATTCGAAGTCTGGCTACGCCTCTGAAACACAATATAACTTGACTTACACTATATTCCCCTGGGCAGCCCAGGCTTGGAAGGTCATTGTGTTGTTGGTGTCCGCCGATCTGATGGTGCCGGGAGTGAACTGGACAACAATAATCACTCAGTTGTAGTAACCGCAGGCAAGCATATTAATTATTCTTGTTTGTATCTAAGAGGCAAGCATATTAATTATTCTTGTTTGTATTTAAGAGTGAAAACACTACAAGTGTTCTTCATCTGCTGAGGCTGTACATCCTATAGCTGCTGAGGCAAGGAATTTGACTCTTGCAGGGGCAGGGGAGTCTGAAGGAGGGAACTAGACTCCAGTGACCCAGTTGGGGAACTGGACTCCAGAAGCTGAAGCAGGCAGGGGACTGGATTCTAGTGTCTGCATCTTCCCGAGGCAAGAAGTTAACTGACCTCAAAAGTCCAGTTTCCACCCTTGCCGAACTAGTAGGCTGGAATTCCTGGGCTCGATCGTAGCGCAACCAGTTGCTATTACAAGTTATGTCCCTTCTAAGCCTCTCCTATGGACCAATCAGATTAAAGCCCAGTCAAGATGATCTGATCGATAATAAAGATCTATATTGTGATGAAACGGGTCTTACATCTCAAAGTGCATCAAATCACATGAGCATCTTGACTAAAAACATGAAAAGACTTGGAAATTATCTGTTGACATGTTTTGCAAATCCTGCTATCGGCCGAAATCTGCACGACAGTTTACTAACCGGATTTTGATTTCGGTGCGCGATTTTGATTGGACTATGCATAGACCCGTCAGTCCAGCCAAAATGTAACTCCATAATACCAGAATTGCTCGGCAAGGGTGGAAACTGGACTTTTATAGTCAGTTAACTCCCTTGCCTTGGGAAGATGTAGTGTCTGAGGCAAGGTAAATAGACTTCGGTGACAAAGGCAGGGGAACTGGACTCTCCTGTCTGAAGCAGGGGACTGGACTCTAGTGTCTGAGGCAGGGGACTGGACTTGAGCTGTTGTGGCAGGGGACTGGACTCTAGCTGATGTGGCAGGGGAACTAGACTCCAGTGATCAAGGCAAGGTAATTAAATTCCAGTGACCAAGGCAGGGAAACTAGGCTCCAGTGACCAAGGCAGGGGAACTGGACTCCAGTGACCAAGGCAGGGGAACTGGACTCCAGTTACCAAGGCAGGGGAACTGGACTCCAGTGACCAAGCCATGGGAACTGGGTCCTCTTGCACAAAGCGATCTTAGCGCTACAATTATTGTAAATCCTTAAGATCGCGATCTTAGGCATCGGCTACAATCGTCATCCACTTGCACAAAGCGATTGTAGGCTAAGATCATTGTCAGCTACAATCGAAACTTACAATTGGTCCGGACCAATCTTAAGTAGCTAAGATCGTTGTAGTCCCTGAATAAACTTGACAAAATGGCGTGCAAGGCTCAGTCTGTTTCACATAAAAAATCTGCTTTACGTTCAAACATTGCCTCTTTTTTTTTTCTAAACTTTATCATTCAAATCGACACTTTCACAACATGAAGAACGCACCACAGATTTAACGTCAGAAATATCGTTGATTGCCATAGTTAAACACATAACTGTCGAGTCGATAGCTAAAAGGAATATTCACATCCGACTCAATACTGAAAGAAATGTGAAACAACATACCTTTTCGCTAAACAAGGGAAGGAAAAAAACCTAAGTCGTCCCGCAAGCGATTTGTAACGTCCGTGACCTTTTCGATAAATCAAGGGCAGCTAATCTTAGTTTATACTCTCGATGGGAGTGGTTTCCCTTTGTATAAGCCCGTACCAACCTTACCCAGTGTATCAATGTTGTTGAATCTCTGAGCTTCCCCTATATTTCTTTTGGGTCACATTCGTGTCAGTTATTTTGTCTTTAGTTTATCATGAAATTAATCTACAAATAAATACAAGCTGAAGAGCAAATCATAAATGTTTAAATCTAAAATCAAATGGGACGGGGACGAGCGGTTAAATATCAGAGTTTAAAAGAAAATAAATACAAGTATTCATCAAACAAGCAAATATACATGATGAAATATTTGATTTTTTGTGTGCAAAATATCCCATAAATAGCAAAATTAAAATTCACATTTAAAAAAAAAAATTATAAAAAAATAATACCTAGGGAACATATATAAACAATTGCTTTCTCGAAACATTATTCATTATTCTTATTTCCTGTCTATGCGTTTTTGAAATTTTTAGGTTTCATAATAATTGTGTTACTAAATAATGTATTTATTTCAATACTTTGAATAAAAACATTAGTAGGTATTTCTCTTGTTGAAATAGAAAACAATTCCTAAATCACGACAGTATTAATGCCGACAGGGATATATGCCTTCATTCTAGTAATCGTTTCCTTAAAAATATTGGGACCTTTCTTGAAACTATGCAAAGTGAGATGGAGGGAGGTGCGTGTTGCGTGTCGTTACCGGTTCGACTTATTGTATGCGCGCTTGCAGACAACTGTAGACAGGAGTCGAGTTTAAGATATTCGTACCTCCACCGTTGAAGATTTCAATCTTAGCTAAGATCGCGATCTTAACTCAAAGCCGTCTTACAATCGCGCTAAGATCGGTTTGTGCAGGGGAACTGGACTCCAGTTACCAAGGCAGGGGAACTGGACTCCAGTGACCAAGGCAGGGGAACTGGACTCTAGTGTCTGAGGCAGGGGAACTGGACTCTAGTGTCTGAGGCAAGGTAAATAGACTTCAGTGACCAAAGCAGGGGAACTGGACTCAAGTGGCCAAGGCAGGCAGGGGAACTGGACTCCAGTGACCAAGGCAGAGGAACTGGACTCCAGTGATCAAGGCAGGGGAACTGGATTCCAGTGACCAAGGCAGGGGACTGGACTCTAGTGGCTGTGGGAGGGAACTGGACTCTAGTGGCTGTGGGAGGGGACTGGACTCCAGTGGCTGTGGCAGGGGACTGCACTCTTGTGTCTGAGGCAGGGGACTGGACTCTTGTGGCTGTGGTAGGGGACTGGACTCTAGTGGCTGTGGGAGGGGACTGGACTCTAGTGGCTGTGGCAGGGGACTGAATGCTAGCGAATGTGGCAGGGGACTGGACTCTTGTGGCTGTGGAAGGGCACTGGACTCTAGTGGCTGTAGGAGGGGACTGGACTCTACTGGCTGTGGGAGGGGACTGGATTCTAGCAGATGTGGCAGGGGACTGGACTCCAGTGGCTGTGGGAGGGGACTGGACTCTAGCAGATGTGGCAAGGGACTGGACTCTAGTTTGGCAGTGGACTGGACTAGTGGCTGTGGGGGGGAACTTGACTCTAGTGGCTGTGGGAGGGGACTGGACTCTAGTGGCTGTAGCAGGGGATCGCATTCCAGTGGCTGTGGGAGGGGACTGGATGCTAGCGGATGTGGCAGGGGACTGGATGCTAGCGGATGTGGCAGGGGACTGGACTCTAGTGGCTGTGGCAGGGGACTGGACTCTAGCAGATGTGGCAAGGGACTGGACTCTAGTTTGGCAGTGGACTGGACTAGTGGCTGTGGGAGGGAACTTGACTCTAGTGGCTGTGGGAGGGGACTGGACTCTAGTGGCTGTGGGAGGGGACTGGACTCTAGTGGCTGTGGGAAGGGACTGGACTCTAGTGGATGTGGCAGGGGACTGGACTCTAGATGCTGTGGGAGGGGATTGGACTCTAGTGGCTGTGGCGGGGACTGGACTCAAGTGGCCAAGGCAGGCAGGGAAACTAGACTCCAGTCGTCAAGGCAAGGTAATTAGATTCCAGTGACCAAGGCAGGGGAACCGGACTCCAGTGACCAAGCCATGGGAACTGGACTCCAGTGACTAAGGCAGGGGAACTGGACTCCAGTGACTAAGGCAGGGGAACTGGACTCCAGTGACTAAGGCAGGGGAACTGGACTCAAGTGGCCAAGGCAGGCAGGGGAACTGGACTCCAGTGACCAAGGCAGGGGAACTGGACTCCAGTGACCAAGCCATGGGAACTGGACTCCAGTGACCAAGCCATTGGAAGTGGACTCCAGTGACCAAGGCAGGGGAACTGGACTCAAGTTGCCAAGGCAGGCAGGGGAATTGGACTCCAGTGACCAAGGCAGGGGAACTGGACTCCAGTGATCAAGGCAGGGGAACTGGATTCCAGTGACCAAGGCAGGGGACTGGACTCTAGCAGATGTGGCAATGGATTGGACTCTAGTGGCTGTGGGAAGGGACTGTATGCTAGCGGATGTGGCAGGGGACTGGACTCTAGTGGCTGTGGGAGGGGACTGGACTCTAGTGGCTGTGGAAGGGGACTGGACTCTAGTGGATGTGGCAGGGGACTGGACGCTAATGTCTGAGGCAGGGGACTGGACACTAGCGGATGTGGCAGGGGACTGGATTCTAGTGGCTGTGGGAGGGGACTGGACTCTAGCAGATGTGGCAAGGGACTGGACTCTAGTGGCTGTGGGAGGGGACTGGACTCTAGTGGCTGTGGGAGGGGACTGGACGCTAGTGTCTGAGGCAGGGGACTGGACTCTATTGGCTGAGGGAGGGGACTGGACGCTAGTGTCTGAGGCAGGGGACTGGACTCTATTGGCTGAGGGAGGGGACTGGACGCTAGTGTCTGAGGCAGGGGACTGGACACTAGTGGATATGGCAGGGGACTGGATTCTAGTGGCTGTGGGAGGGGACTGGACTCTAGCAGATGTGGCAAGGGACTGGACTCTAGTTTGGCAGGAGACTGGACTCTAGTGGCTGTGGGAGGGGACTGGACTCGAGCGAAAGTGGCAGGGGACTGGACTCCAGCGGATGTGGCAGGGGACTGGATGCTAGCGAATGTGGCAGGGCACTGGACTCTAGTGGCTGTGGGAGGAGACTGGACTCTAGTGGCTGTGGCAGGGGACTGGATGCTAGCGAATGTGGCAGGGGACTGGACTCTAGTGGCTGTGGCAGGGCACTGGACTCTAGTGGCTGTGGGAGGGGACTGGATTCTAGTGGCTGTAGCAGGGGATCGCATTCCAGTGGCTGTGGGAGGAGACTGGACTCTAGTGGCTGTGGGAGGGGACACTAGCGGATGTGGCAATAGATTTGACTCTAGTGGCTGTGGGAAGGGACTGGACTCTAGTGGCTGTGGCGGGGACTGGACTCAAGTGGCCAAGGCAGGCAGGGAAACTAGACTCCAGTCATCAAGGCAAGGTAATTAGATTCCAGTGACCAAGGCAGGGGAACCGGACTCCAGTGACCAAGCCATGGGAACTGGACTCCAGTGACCAAGCCATGGGAACTGGACTCCAGTGACCAAGCCATGGGAACTGGACTCCAGTGGCCAAGGCAGGGGAACCGGACTCCAGTCATCAAGGCAAGGTAATTAGATTCCAGTGACCAAGGCAGGGGAACCGGACTCCAGTAATCAAGGCAAGGTAATTAGATTCCAGTGACCAAGGCAGGGGAACTGGACTCCAGTGACCAAGCCATGGGAACTGGACTCCAGTGACCAAGCCATGGGAACTGGACTCCAGTGACCAAGGCAGGGGAACTGGACTCAAGTGGCCAAGGCAGGCAGGGGAACTGGACTCCAGTGACCAAGCCATGGGAACTGGACTCCAGTGACCAAGCCATTGGAAGTGGACTCCAGTGACCAAGGCAGGGGAACTGGACTCAAGTGGCCAAGGCAGGCAGGGGAACTGGACTCCAGTGACCAAGGCAGGGGAACTGGACTCCAGTGATCAAGGCAGGGGAACTGGATTCCAGTGACCAAGGCAGGGAACTGGACTCTAGCAGATGTGGCAATGGATTGGACTCTAGTGCCTGTGGGAAGGGACTGGATGCTAGCGGATGTGGCAGGGGACTGGATGCTAGTGGATGTGGCAGGGGACTGGACTCTAGTGGCTGTGGGAGGGGACTGGACACTAGTGTCTGAGGCAGGGGACTGGACGCTAGTGGATGTGGCAGGGGACTGGACTCAAATGGCTGTGGGAGGGGACTGGACGCTAGTGGCTGTGGGAGGGGACTGGACTCTAGTGGCTGTGGAAGGGGACTGGACTCTAGTGGATGTGGCAGGGGACTGGACGCTAATGTCTGAGGCAGGGGACTGGACACTAGCGGATGTGGCAGGGGACTGGATTCTAGTGGCTGTGGGAGGGGACTGGACTCTAGCAGATGTGGCAAGGGACTGGACTCTAGTGGCTGTGGGAGGGGACTGGACTCTAGTGGCTGTGGGAGGGGACTGGACGCTAGTGTCTGAGGCAGGGGACTGGACTCTATTGGCTGAGGGAGGGGACTGGACGCTAGTGTCTGAGGCAGGGGACTGGACTCCAGTGGCTGTGGGAGGGGACTGGACACTAGTGGCTGTGGGAGGGGACTGGACTCAATTGGCTGAGGGAGGAGACTGGACGCTAGTGTCTGAGGCAGGGGACTGGACACTAGCGGATGTGGCAGGGGACTGGATTCTAGTGGCTGTGGGAGGGGATTGGACTCTAGCAGATGTGGCAAGGGACTGAACTCTAGTTTGGCAGGGGACTGGACTAGTGGCTGTGGGAGGGAACTTGACTATAGTGGCTGTGGGAGGGGACTGGACTCTAGTGGCTGTAGCAGGGGATCGCATTCCAGTGGCTGTGGGAGGAGACTGGACTCTAGATGCTGTGGGAGGGGACTGGACTCTAGTGGCTGTAGCAGGGGATCGCATTCCAGTGGCTGTGGGAGGAGACTGGACTCTAGTGGCTGTGGGAGGGGACTGGACACTAGTGTCTGAGGCAGGGGACTGGACGCTAGCGGATGTGGCAATAGATTTGACTCTAGTGGCTGTGGGAAGGGACTGGACTCTAGTGGATGTGGCAGGGGACTGGATTCTAGTGGCTGTGGGAGGGGACTGGACTCTAGCAGATGTGGCAAGGGACTGGACTCTAGTTTGGCAGGGGACTGGACCAGTGGCTGTGGGAGGGAACTTGACTCCAGTGGCTGTGGGAGGGGACTGGACTCTTGTGGCTGTGGCAGGGGACTGGACTCTAGTGGCTGTGGCAGGGGACTGGACTCCAGTGGCTGTAGGAGGGGACTGGACTCTAGTGGCTGTGGGAGGGGACTTGACACTAGTGTCTGAGGCACGGGACTGGACTCTAGCGGATGTGGCAATGGATTGGACTCTAGTGGCTGTGGCGGGTATTTGACTCTTGTGTCTGTGGCAGGGGACTAGGGTGAATGTGAATGTGAATGTTTCAGAGCACATTTTTCTCAGTAGTGAGGAGGGAAGTAGGACTTTCTAAAATGTTGTACTGAAAACAAAAGTGAAGCAGTTGTCAAGCATGTCATTGCATGGACAACAGAAAATGCTTCATATAATGCAGGAACGTGAAGTATTGTTATTATTGGCAATAACAATTACTGGTGTGTTCTGTCATATCTGTTCATGATGATGTTTGTTGAATCATGAATCATAATAATGATGGCTTCTCATTGATGGTGCAGTTGACTCTGTGCCAGAAATTCACTGGCCATTCTGAAAGTGTAATGTAACAAGTAAAAATGGCGCAACTATCTATCATTATGGAAAACCTTAGAGAAATTCTTCTAACGGAATCAACAGATTATAGTGATTTATCCAGAAAAGTACCCTCTGTACAATAACTTGTGGCAAAATACGTGACGATGTGTATTTACTCACATGTTATTAGACGAGAGGCGTGATGGGTCCAAATGGGTCTTGTTTTGACCGCTCACGGCTCTCGATACGATCACAAGAACCCACGGCCCTTTCCGATTCCTGCAAATGTTTGAATGTGTCATTTCCACCGCCATATAGGGCCTCACTCACCTGATCAGTAAATGCTGTCCAGACATTGTTGTCGATGGTTCTACAGTCGATCATATCTCCCAACAGCATCACTTCTACCAGACTCCTGGGCGATGGTAAAAGCCCGCCATTTTGTTGGCATGATGTCCTAGCGTCATGCCAGGTGCTTTTAGTGTTGAAGAGTTTGTAACATTTCCCATAAATATCCTTCCAGCCGTCAGCTTCATTACAGAGATCATACGTATCTAGAACACAATACAGCGCACATTTAGCTAATTATAAACATGTCATCAAACCCTGCATCTTCTTTTCTATGAAGTAACATAGGTGGATCAATAGGGGGAGGGGAAGGGGTAGGGGGGTCCTTTCCAACGCTGATTCGACGTTTAAATAAAATTAACGGAGGGCTTAGTTCAGATTTTGAACCTTTTATATGAATTCTGACACGTGTTTTTTGGATTTGTGTATTCGTGATTCAGGGATGAGCAAATGAGTGAAAAAAAAGATGGTATTCGGGATTCAGGGGATATGGGTTGGCCCCTCTTTCCGTAAAAACATAGATCAAAGTCCTGTTTGGGACTATATGTAACTTTCGTATTTCAGCACATGGACCAAAATATCCACAAAACAAAAAGTTATTATATTTTTTAATGAATTATTGGAAATTACAGTTGGAATATTGTTTTTATCTCTCTAACTTTAACCAGATCTGGAAATGCCAGACATTCCTTATATTGGAGAGACGTTGCAATGATTGAACAAAAATTACCATCAAAAACATTAGTGATTCTCCAGCAACAATATATCAACAAACATCATCATGAACTGATATGACAGAAACGGATAATTCTTATCCCTTTCATGGCTTAAGTATTGACCCGTGAAGATCCGGGTTAAAATTGTTCTTCAGCAAACCATGCTATGCTTGTCGGGATCGGGTGGTCAGGCTCGCTGACTTAGTTGATGCATGTAATCGTATCCCAATTGTGTAGATCGATACTCATGATGTCAATCTCGATTATTTACAGAGTGCGGCGTTAAACAACAAACAAACAAACTCATGTCTAAATTTTACTTTAGAAAACTAAAGAAGCTGTTCGGCTTTCGCAATCTGTCCCTTTAAACTATACCATTATCTTTTGATAGGGATAATCAGATATGTCATTCTATTTAAATATAAACTTGACTTGTGAGAATCGGGTGTGTGTATCGTGGGAAGATAGCAATATCTCTATCCAACGTAGGGGAGTAAATGTTGAATACGATTGACCACCAGCTTGTTCTGTTTATCACTTGCAAGTTTAGGCTTGATCATGATGGCTTTAAATTTGAGGGAAAAGTCCTATTAGCAACTTTTAAAGGGGGGTCTAACAAGCGTGACCCAGTATGACATTTTACTCTATGTAAGTGATGTAGCTAGTTTAATCGCTTCATCTCTATCTAACTGTGTCGTTCGTGGGGTTTTGGTAATGAAATACGGGCCTTTTTGATGACCCGTTAAGATCCGGGTTAGAATAGGTCTTCAGCAACCAATGCTTGTCGAAGAGGCGACTAACAAAATCGGTCAGGCTCGCTGACTTGGTTGATGCATGTCTTGGTATCCAAATTGATTGATGTTCATGATGTCAATCACTGGATTGTCTTGTCCAGACTCGATGATTTAGAGACCGCCGTCACATAGCTGGAATATTGCTGAGTGCGGCGTTAAACGGGAAAAAATATTTTGTTTTCGAATTTTTCACAGCAACAAAATTGTTTGCTCCACATGAGAGGTGTTGTGTAAAATAAGATGTTGTGTGTCCCAAAATACGATGTTGTGGGTCCAAAAATAAGATGTTGCGTGTCCCCCCAAAAATGTTGTGTGTCCCAAAATAAGATGTTGTGTGTGCCAAAATAAGATGTTGTGTGTCCCAAAATAAGATGTTGTGTGACAAAATTAAGATGTTGTGGATCCCAAACACATATTTGGCTCCTCCGTTGAGAGTAAGAAACTGTATTTCTTGGCGCGCAGCGTGAAACCCCCCCAAAAAACATCCCAACAAAAATGATATATGAGTCAAAATTATTTCCAAATAATATAACTATCTTACCGGCTGATCTTTCGCAAATCGTAGGTACTGACGATGTACATGGTGTTATAGTGAGCTGACCACGATAGGCCCCGTAGCCGTACATGTAGGTGCAGAAGTAGCGTCGCTGGATGCACGTCGCTGTGAGGGTCGGCTCTCGGCTACGGTACCAGTGGCTGAAGCAAAGTTGAAATTTAACTTACATGTAAATACATAACATAAACATATTACTAAATATGTTGTGCCTTATTTACAATAAAAAATAAGAACTTATCAGTTTGGCTAACAAACGCAAAGTTTTTCGAATTATTTCCAGTCGAGTTTTTTATTTTTAGTGCAGCCCACCCTATATTTTGGCACTGTGGTTGTGCAGACCCGTTTATCCAGACAGTTGTATCCGAGCTTGATTTGGCATTATCAGGCTGCTTAACAAATGTCAATACCTTTCACCATGTGCACTAGACTATATATGTAGGACTTCAAGTTCCCGCTCTTAACATGACAAATATATAGCAGCGTTCTATACGAAAAGTTTGTGATTGTAGTGGCTGACTTGTGCCATTTCGCATATTCGCACTTTCACTTTCATTTGCGAATGCGAAGATACTCTACGATGATACGAAAACGGTGGGAAATAACACTATATCTTCTTTAGAATGTTTGTTTGTTTGTTTGTTTCTTGCTTAACGCCGCACTAAGGGAGCCGACCAGGGTGATAATGGTGATAGGCTTTGAGCATGCCTCAACGGTTGGACTATAGCGCATCACAAATAGCCATTTATTATTATATTTACAACAAACAAGCAGGCAAGTGGCTCATAAGTTTACAAAAAGAAAGCAAATTATCGACATGTCAACTCGTCACCGCCCTTTTTTCTGAGAGCCTACTTTGAAGATTTTTTCATACTCAAATTAGTAAACAGATTTTGTTCACATTTATTATATTGCCATAGAGCTACTCCAGTTTGTAGTCTTTGATGTCCAGAGTTGCGTCCCTTAGCCGTGTCAGGGTCCGCTGAACATTGGCTCAACTCTCGGTTTTGGTGCGATTATGAACCTTGATTTATAACCGGCTCCCTAACAATATAGCAACATTGAAGAAGAACACTAGTCAAGTTACAATATTTCATTATCTTCTTATATCACAGGAACTCGTTATTGGTCAGTAAATAAAAATATATTCCCCCTATATATTTAGGGGGAATATATATTTATTTACTGACCAATAACGAGTATATACCCCCTATATATATAACGAGTATATACCCCCTATATATAGGGGGAATATATTTTTATTTACTGACCAATAACGAGTTCCTGTGTCTTATATGTAGCTAGTGGAATCAGGATCCTTGACACGAGGTTTGAGTGGTGATCAAGACGAGGTTGTGTATTGAGTGAGTGAGTGAGTGAGTGAGTGAGTGAGTGAGTGAGTGAGTGAGTGAGTGAGTTCGGTTTAATGCCGCTATGAAAAGTTTGTGTTTGTTGTTTAACGCCGCACTCAGCAATACTCAAGCTATATGATGGCGGTCTGTAAATAATCGAGTCTGGACCGGACAATACAGTTATTGACATCATGAGCATCGATCTACGCAATTGGGATACGATGACATGCATCAACCAAGTCAGCGAGCCTGACCACCCTATGCCGTTAGTCGCCTCTTACGACATGCATAGTCGCTTTTTACGGCAAGCACGGGTTGCTGAAGACCTATTCTACCCCGGATCTTCACGGGTCTTATGAAAAGTAACCGTCAGCTTCATGTGAGGGGGATGCCCGAAGTGGTGCAAATAACAAACTCAGATTGCAGACGTTTACAGCTTGGTGAAATCCACGAGCACGGGTATGGTGTGGCGGTTTTGTTGGTTGGTTGGTTGGTTGGTTGATTAACGCCGCACTCAGCAATATTCCAGCTATATGACGGAGGAGCTGTTTTGTGACACAGTGGGACAGCCCGTAGCTCTGTTTAGGGACTAGTCAGCATCAAACTCGTTTACAGGGAGCAGCCCAGTGAAACCGTTACCGCAGCTAGGGCAGAAACATTATCATGAGCATAAGTTTAAAGGGAGGCTACTCTGCACAGCGAACCTTGGATCAGCGGATCCTGTCACATATTATGGACGCAACTCTGCAGAGAGAATCTCGGCCACTTAGACCACCGGAGATATGATATGATAATCGAGGATGGTTTTTTTTTTTACAATGATACGACTATCTTGTGAAAACTTATAATGTACGAATATTCAAAATGTTTAATATTTGTGCATTTTGAGGTGGGTGATACAAGTAAATGCTGTGCGTATAGGAACAACACACTCACGTTGCTGTTGCATTATACGGAGTCCCGTCTTCCCAGATCCACGCTTTAGAGGTCTCGTTATAAGTCAGTGATGTGTAGTACTGGATGTTTACGGACCCTAACATGGATTTCACGAAAATCTGCAAACAAGTTAACCATGTTAAACAGTTTGGGCTCGTAACATGTGAAAAAGAGAGTAATACCCTCGTGTCTTTCCGTGACGTAAATATTACATGTTAGGAATACATATTGTACCATGCGAGCCTTTTATATATTGTTATTCCTAATATAGAATTTACGAAACGGAAAGACACGAGGGTAATGCCCTTTCTATCACATATTGTAATTCTTAAAATAATCCACGATTAAGATTTTTACTCAGAGAAGTATCTTCAGAAAACCCGTATGAATACAATGTTCGAGTGAACTGCCCAATTGTTCATAAAGTAGCAAATGATTTACAGCCATGTTTGTGTTCAGAAATACCCACACATTGGGAGAAGACACTGTCTCAACTTACTGGGGACATCAGACAATCCGTTATTGACCACGCAGACATTGCGTCTATGTATGCAGCTTAAAGTAGTTCATGTGAAGTGATCTAATTTGCATATATATCGAATCGCGACACCAAGCTAATCAGATCGGTTTATCGCATTGATAACATTGTTCATTATATAATGACATGCATTTCCCGTAACATTTGATCAAGTAATGAGACAGGGGTTGTAGAATGTGTTACATGGCTGAATCTGTTGGTGGCCTTATAGGCGGGGTTACGTCACTTTGACGTCATATTCAGTTACTTTGTTTGTTTGTTGTGTAACACTGCACTAAGCAATATTCCAGCTATAGGAAGGCGGTCTGTAATCGAGCCTGGACCAGTCGAACCGAATCGAGACAATCCAGTGATTGATATCATGAGCATCGATCCACGCAATAGGGTTACAATGACGTGTATCAACAAAGTCAGCGAGCCTGACCACCCTATCCCGTTAGTCGCCTCTTACGACAAGCATTCTTCAGTTACTAGTATACTAGTAAAGTATATGGTATAGTACATAGTACACGAGTATATCGCGACGCGTCAACATAGTGTAAAAGATAAACCATTAGTGATACAGGTCTCAGACGTTTACCACTTTGGTGACACCCACGGGCACGGGTGTGGTGCTAACAAACCTAGAAACATAATATGGGATTCGAACACACGATCATAGGTAGATTTAACAACCAAGGGTCGCAACTCTATACATCGAATTGTGGAGCCTTCGACAATTTGGCCATCCGTGTCCCAAGTGTGTCATAAAATAATAAGGGTAACCGTAGTAGCATATAGCCAAAATATACTGTTGGGCAAAAGAAAGTATACACACGTTTGATGGTGGTTAAACATGAAAAATAAAATATGTAATTTGATGATGATGTAGTTTGGGTTTTTTCACCTTATAAGTTTGCAGTGTTAAGGCTGCTGTTTTCAGCCCAAAAACGTTTTGATGACGATTGTATTTTTTTAAATCAAATCCAATTTTCAAGTGTATACTTTCTTTGCCCGGCACTGTACTATTTGTATGAAGATACATACCCATTCAGCCTCACTGCTAATGGAAACCAGAGATGCATTGTTTTGTGCACAGTACTGCAGGGACTGTGCATAGTTCTGCCTGGGTGTGGTCATGTAGTAGCATCGGTCATTGTCTTGCGTCCAGCCCGCTGGACATCGGCCGAGCGTTGTTGCCACTGGAGGAACATGAGAAATGGTTTAAATTAAAGAAGTCAATGTCCTCGTACATAACCGTGATAAATTGTGTATAATATTTTTAAAAGTACAAGGAGTATATTTTCACACAGGAAGTAATCTACAGTTATAACGAATTCAAAGGGACCACTAATTTTAGTTCGTAATAACCGTAGTTCGTTATAAGCATATATACATAATTTTTCAACAAATTGCCGGGACTAAAAAAAAGTTTGTTTATCGGTCATTTCGTTGTAAACGTGTTCGTTATAAACGCAGTTTATTGTATATGCGTTTTGTAAATGAAGACAGGAACTACCACCCCAGTACTGTAAATGAAGGAATGTGTTCAAAGGTCGTGAAGTATATTTACACAGGAAACACCAAATCGGTTAAGTAAATGAAGGAATGTGTTCGAAGGTCGTGAAGTATATTTACACAGGAACTACCAACTCGGTACTGTAAATGAAGGAATGTGTTCAAAGGTCGTGAAGTATATTTACACATGAACTACCAACTCGGTACTGTAAAGGAAGGAATGTGTTCGAAGGTCGTGAAGTATATTTACACTGGAACTACCAACTCGGTACTGTAAATGAAGGAATGTGTTCAAAGGTCGTGAAGTATATTTACACTGGAACTACCAACTCGGTACTGTAAATGAAGGAATGTGTTCAAAGGTCGTGAAGTATATTTACACAGGAACTACAGGAGAGAGACGGAGAGAGACAGAGAGAGACAGACAGACACACACACACACACACAAACAAACACACACACACACAAACAAACAAACTAACACAAACACTTAGTATTACTTCAGGGACGTGTATTTGTTTATCTAGTTTTTGTGGTCGAAAATAAAATGCGACGTTCGATAACAGAAATGTTGCCAGTGTAAACAGTCCTGTGATTAACAGATAGATATTCTTTATTTCCTTGAGATATTGAAGGTACATATATGTATTCTCTCGAACTTAAAGACCTCGGTCATTGGTCTGGCGTGATCTGTCATCCCTATCATATGTTGTGCAACCGTTCAGCTGACGACGACTGAAACAAAGGCTGGTGTATGCACATAACGAAGAGCCGATAACAATCTGGTATCAGTGTGTGTGGCTCCTAACTTGTTGGATGCCCTTGTAAGCTGATAAAAAGATAAAATGGGCCATAATGGTGATTTTGTGCAGTATTTAGTTTGTAGTGCCTGCACACACCTCGAACTTCCTGTGGTAGAGTGTCCGCCCGGAGAACGGAAGGTCGGCGGTTCGATCCCAGGCCGCGTCATACCACAAAAAGTTAAAAGATTGGTACTTGTTGTTACCCCGCCTGGTGCTCGTCATTAAGGGGCTAAAACAAGGCTCGGAATACTTTGTCTGAGTGGAGTATTCATGTTAAATTGCGGCATGGTATCTCGGGGGGGGGGGGGGGGGGGGGGGGGGGGGGGGCTATAGCACTATTAAATCGGCATCAATCTGGACTAGTACAAGCAGGAACACACACACACACACACACACACACACACACACACACACACACACACACACACATACATACGTGCATGCACATCGCTATATAAGTGCAGAAAACTTGAACGCGACGTTAAAGCCTTACTTCACCTCACCTCACCCCACCTCACCTTGGAGGGAGAGCGTTCATGATGAGAAGTACACTCATAGGGATTCAATGACTCTAAGTACGAACCGAGCCTACACAGGTCAACGAGCAATTTACATCCGTGACTATGGCTTCTAACAGTAAACACGTTGTTGTGTACAAGAACCTACCAAATGCTGGACAGCTCCTATGTATAAAAGGCAGTATAACTTGTGTAAATCTAATCAATAAATGGTTCTTTGTTAACATTTTAAGTAAAACGCATGTGCTACGTAATAACTTCTATTTCAATAAATAGACTTTGATAAAAAAAAGACGAGGGCCGACTTTTAGTGTCGATAGGTGATGAGAAAACGGATCGTAGAGGAGAAACTATATTTTGTGGCCTAAGCGCCGTGAATACTTTGTTGAACGGCCCCAAGTGTCGGAGCATGTTGAACACCGTTATCACCATCACATTAATCAGTATCGATCACACTGAAATTGTTACAAATTACAGCACTGATCTGATAACCTAGGTCATAATCTAAAATCGGATCAATTCCACCAAAGTCTTTAAACTTACCTGAAATGGCCAATATAAATATCAATAATATACAAGATCTTTCCTCCATTATAACGGTATGGCAGGGAGTGTTTACCCAGAGTCACACTGTGTTCGCCATCTATCAGTAGGATGCACCAACAGATACAACAAAGGGCTGTTATCTGTGCGTGTACTTCAGACCGCCGGCCTATAGGCGTACCAGGCACGTTGTCCGCGGTGAGGACTACATACATAAACTTTTTTATGTTCAGTACTCTGATTTCTTCATCACATGAAATATTCGGCGTTTGCAAACGTCAGGGTCTCATATTTTGACTTTGATATGACCATTCCCTCAAAATGGGTTGGCTATTGCTCAACGCCGCAATCTTGGTGGCGATCCATTAAAGTACTGGGCCCCGTTCCACAAAGCGATCGTTGCGCTAAGTCTATCGTAAGCCTATGTTAAAGTATGGGAGTTACGATCATCTTAGCGCTAAGTCTATCGTAAGCCTATGTTAAAGTATGGGAGTTACGATCATCTTAGCGCTAAGTCTATCGTAAGCCTATGTTAAAGTATGGGAGTTGCGATCATCTTAGCGCTAAGATCGCTTTGTGGAATGGGCCCCTGGACCTAGTCTTATGACTGCCGTAGAGCTACGATCGCTTTGTGGAACGGGGTCCTGAACTTTGTAAATATGTACTTTAAATTTGCTTGGGAAAAAAAGATGAAACATGGTATATATACATCTTCTCCCGAGGACATTTAAGTTTGTTTTAAAAGTTCTGAGCCAATCTCATTAAAATCAGATCTTAGTGCTCGCTACTGCTACACACAGATATGAACACATCCAATTACAAGTCACGGGTAATCTTCGTATTTGTAGCCAGGCTGCAGAGGCGCTGATAATCCACAATGTTTTTAAGATTCTCTTTCACGTGTACATGTACGCCAGCAAGAGATATTTTACGTCCGTTTCCTAAGGTTCATGGAAAGTTTTGTTGGAAACAGAAATTGTTGAGACATGTTGTTTCAGATTTCGCTATTATAGGACAGATAAAACACACTCAAAATGCGGGGTCAGTGTTGAAAGAGTGTACAGTTTTCTGCATGCTGCGCGTGGCCCTTCTCCCGCACGCAGTCGACGAATTCATTTTTCTACTACGCTGGTGTCTCCCCCCCCCCCCCCAAACACACACACACACACACACACACACACACAAACACTTAGTATCGTGAAACATTGTGCACTTTGTGATTGAAAGCATGAATCTTGTTACAGTTATAATGCCATCCCAAATAATTTAAGTCAGGGGGCCACCCAAAAAATCCAATATGGCCGCAATGGAGGAATGAAATTCTATTATATCTCCTTTGAACATGACCCACAACCTATATATACAATGACAAATGTAATTACCCAACGCTACATCTATAAAGTAACTACTTAGTAAAGTCAAGAGAAAATGAACAAATACGCATTTCTTTCTTTCGACAGTGACAATTACATGTGATCACATTTGCAAAGTGGTGTACTAATCAGATGTGACACACAACACAGTCACACCTTGCTCTGCGAATGTTCGGATGTGTTTACGCATTCGTGTTTCCACTATCTGGTCATCTACAATTGGAAGAGAAGGTTCTGTTGAGTGCACAGGGTGAATGTACTGTACGTAATGACCTGTAAACATTGTTGGTCCAAAGGCTGAATTTACAACAGACCCGTGAAGATCGGAGGTAGAATAGGTCTTCAGCAACACATGCTTGCCGTAAAAGGCGACTTTGCTTGTCGTAAGAGGCGACTATCGGGTAGTCAGGCTCGCTGACTTGGTTGATGCATGTCATCGATCCCAATTGCGTGGATCGATACTCATGAAGTCAATCACTGGATTGTCTGGTCCAGACTCGATTATTTACAGACCGCCGTCATATAGCTGGAATACTGCTGAGTGCGGCGTTAAACAAAAAACAGATAGACATACAGATTTTACAACCCGGTTACTAGCGGGATACGATCTCAGCGCCTGGCGCTTGCTAGCCAGACGGATCAGAGTGTGAAGAGAGGCGATTGAGATGCATGGTGAATCGTTGGTAACACTCTCTGTTGTATCCATCGGCGTTGTACTGCTAAAGCATGCGGTATATATTCATTTGGTCACTCTGTGTTCGGCATCCTTCATGACACATGCTAGTTGCAATGTTCCGTATTGTAATCCTGGGACGTGCACAATGCATACAGGCTTTAGCTTCGCCCCCTCTTCACCACGTTGGCCATTCTTCCGACGTTCGGGTGGTGGCCCGTCTTTCTCATCCGTCCCAAACGCGTCTCTCGATTCAGACATCACTCACACTGAGTGAGTGAGTGAGTGAGTGAGTATGGTTCTACGCCGCTTTCAGTAATATTCCAGCAATATCACGGCGGGTGACTCCAGAAATGGGCTTCACACATTGTACCCATGTGGGGAATCGAACCTGGGTCTTCGGCGTGAGGAGCGAACGCTTTAACCACTTAGCTACCCCACCGTCCCTCACTCACACGGAGTTGACATCAATCTGCTTTATCTAGGCATACCTCAATGTAATTCGTAATTCGTCAGCCACTTATTTAATTCTGTCTAGGTTCAATCAAGATTGTAATATCAAACTTAATCAAATATGGTTGGGGATTACAGTTGAAGGATGTATATTTAACTTGTGTGGAGTTGCGCTGCAAAGAAAACAAACTTAAATAAATAAAATTATGAATGGCCTGAATAATCTAAATATTCATATTATTAAACAAACACAAGGATGGTTGATAGTATCAATTGGCTCTTTGATATTAAGCATCCATCAATCAGCATGATTTCATTTAATCCTGAAAAAGATACATAAGCATACATGTATATGATAAATACATTTCTATTCTGAACTGGGGCGGTGGGTAGCCTACTGGTTAAAGCGTTCGCTCGTCACGCCGAAGACCCGGGCTCGATTCCCGACATGGGTACAATTAGTGAAGCCTATGTCTGGTGTCCCCCCGCCGTGATAATTTTGGAATGTTGCTAAAAGCGGCGTAGAACCATACTCACTCATCCTGAATGGTGATATATATATTTATATTTATATTATTTGTATTTATTTTTTAATGTTTTTTAAGGGGAGAGGTAACTATGGGGAGTTTGAATTCCGATTACTCCATTAGATCATATGATATTATCTTTATTGATGTGGCAAATTAAAGTTAAAACCACTAGATTGTTGCTTGTAATTGTTTGTGTGTATATCTCCTGAGCACATTCGCATAAAATAGAAATTATGGAAAATTAGAGCGATGGGCGTGGAGCGAATATATACAATTTCGTTCTATAAACTAAAAGTGTAATAATCATTATAACCAGAATAACTTCACCTTTATTGTATGAAATTTAAAGATTTTAAAGCCTTCGATGGACCTTTTTTGCTTGGTACCTAAACTGACGCTCGACGCGGATCTCTAAATTACGATTCAAGGGTATCTCCTTGACTATGATGAAACCAGGTAGTGCATCCCCATATTGTCAATGTTAACATTCCCTGTCATGTTCAGGACATGCATGGGATTCAGAAAACGAAGGATTTGTTTGAAGGTGGGCGGGTGGGCGGGTGGGCGGGTGGGGGCCTTTTATATTTGCATTCATTCTTACATGACAATCATGATACACGTTGTTATTTTACTCCGCACTCAACAATATTCCAGCTATATTACGTCGGTCTGTGCAAATTCGCTTCTGGGGCGGACAATCCAATGATTGACATCATGAGCATCTATCTATACGAAGAAGTTAATCTATAATAGCCACATAGCCAGAGCTCATGAATGGAATCCCAAACAATACCTGGTCAGTAGGTACTGTACAACTCGCTCCCTATATGTTAGTGAGTGAGTGAGTTGGGCTTATCGCCGCTTTTAACAGTATTCCAGTTATATCACGGCGTGTCAGCTTAATGTGGGAGGAAAGCCCGAAGTGATGCAGGTCTCAGACGTTTACCACTTCGGTGAAACCCACGAGCACGGGTATGGTGCTGACAAACCTAGAAACATAATCGGGGCGAAGCGGGATTCGAACCTACAATCGTAGGTTTCTGGCGTGCCCAAGGGACGCAACTCTGCATCTCTATCTATTAGTACATATGCACACTCATGTAATGATGAACATGACAATTGTAGCTGCCAAAAAGGTTCACTGGTTGTGAAGACTGTGTTTGCTGAAATTCACCGGTAGGCAGTAAAGGTCATGTGTGTAGAACTGCTTTTAACCAGCGCTCTTTACATTCATGGTTTCAAGGTCTAGATATATTGTCATAGCTTCATGTAGCTATACATAGTGATACATGCACACCCAGGTTGTTAGTATACAATGCAGTTATATATAGTAATACATGCACGCCAAGAATGTCAGTATACAATGTAGCTATAAATGGTGACATATGCACACCGAGGATGTCAGTATACAACGTAGCCATATATAGTGATACATGCACACAGAAAATGTTAGTATAGAACGTAGCTATATATAGTGACACATGTACACCAAGGATGTCAGTATACAACGTAGCTGTCTATAGTGATACATGTACACCCAGGATGTCAGTATACAACGTAGCTATATATAGTGATACATGCACATCCAGGTTGTCAGTATACAACGTAGCTATGTATAGTGACACATGTACACCCAGGATGTCAGTATACAACGTAGCTGTCTATAGTGATACATGTACACCCAGGATATCAGTATACAACGTAGCTATATATAGTGACACATGTACACCCAGGATGTCAGTATACAACGTAGCTATGTATAGTGACACATGTACACCCAGGATATCAGTATACAACGTAGCTATATATAGTGACACATGTACACCCAGGATGTCAGCATACAACGTAGCTATATATAGTGACACATGTACACCCAGGATGTCAGTATACAACGTAGCTATATATAGTGACACATGTACACACAGGATGTCTGTTTACAACGGCTTTATACGGTTACACATGTACACCCAGGATGTCAGTATACAACGTAGCTATATATAGTGACACATGTACACCCAGGATGTCAGCATACAACGTAGCTATATATAGTGACACATGTACACCCAGGATGTCAGTATACAACGTAGCTATATATAGTGACACA